TTAAAATTATTTTTATAATAAATATTTCAATAATTTATCTTTATTTTTTTAGTATTATCTCAAATACCACTTACGCTATACTTAAACAATTGAAAATGATTATTACAAGACTCGTAATTTTTTTTAAAAAAATTAAAATTAATTAATTCATTAATAAATATATTATTTTTTCAACACTATTCATTTGCAACTAAATCAATAATTTGTAATTTTAATCCGTTGTAAAATTTTGTTAGTAATTGTAGTAAATAATTAGTTACAAATTATTCCAACATTAATCTTTTGAAACCAAATGAATAATTATTTACAAATGATAACTAATAATTTATAAAATTATTTTTTAGACTAAATTATCAGTTCAATTTCTAAAAAAAAAAAAGAATTCTTAATTGAGTTAGCAAAATAACAATGCTAGGATTAATTAGAATTTTTTTTTTACTAAATGTGAACATTGACTTGATTTTGTCCCAAATGATCTTAATGAATTTGTTTGATGGTCAAAAAAGTACATTTTCTTTTTTTGAATTAAAGTTTTAGGGTTAGTATTTATGAAAATTTATTAAATGTTTCTAAATATATCTTATATTATGAAATTATGAATATGACTTTTTGAAGTTTTCTCAAAACTTGTTGGTGTAAAAATCATATACTCGTTTTTGTATTTTAATTTTTTTGTATTAAACAAACGTTAAAATATATTTTTCAGCATTTTTTTTTATGTAATTGCCAAAAGACAAAAAATATTTTTTTGAAAATTAATTTTTTTAAAAATAGTTTCCTCATGAATTGATTTTTCTATAAAAGTTATTTTTTTCAAACAAACAGAGCCTTGATGATAAAACAAGATCCTTTACCGTGGAGAGTGCTTTGATTGATGATAAAGAGACGAAATTCGTAATTCTCTCAGCATGGTAAATCATTTCTCCTTTGTTGCACTATGTACCTAAGTTGTTAGACATTCTTTATGTATCTAAAACAGGTGGGGAGTTCACTCGTTCATTTGAACAATGAATGAACAAGTGAACTCTCCATTTTACCTCGCCCCTTTAATTGTTCATCCGAACTTTTCTTTTTGAGTTTTTTTTTCCTCTTTTTTAATTTTCACCCTTAGTTTTTTTCTTTAGTTTTTTTTTTAAAAAATTTTTGAATTATTTCATTCGATCCATGAAAATTTAAAATAAAAATTTTAATCCCTAATCGATGCATTATATGTCTTTTTTTCTTTGGTTTTTTTCCTCATCAATTTATTATTTTTTAATTTGATCGGGTGCTAAAAGTTTTAAAAATCGATCGTTATTTTTTTTCAAATAGGCTGATAATTTACTTTACCCTCACACTATACTACTAAATTTTAGTTTTTTTTTCCTTTTTTTAAAAAAATTAACTATTATTTTTTTCTTATTTTCTTGGTTTTTTTTTTTAAACTTTTACTCTTATTGTTTAAAATTTATTTCTTCAATTATTTTGAGTGTTAAAATTTTTAAAAATCAATCCTTATTTTTTCAAACAGAGTTGATGATTTACTTTATCCTCACACTATATTACTCAATCTTAGTTTTTTTTTCCTTTTTCTTAAAAAAATTTCATTGTTACTTTTTACTTATTTTCTTAGTTTTTTTTTTAAACTTTTACTCTTATTTTTTAAAATTTATTTCTTTAATTATTTGTTTCTTATTAAAATTCTAATCAAATTAATCTTTGATATAATTTTATTTGTTAATAAAATTTTAAAATGTCGATGTTTTGTTTAAATATATTATTATAATTTATGCAATAAATTATTTTTATGTTTTTTTAATGAGTGTTTTATTTTTTAAAATATATTATTATAATTAGTATGAATAGTGAACAATCACGCAAGTACTCGTTCATTTGAACAGCTTTTTTTTTATAAATATATTATTTTTATGTTTTTTAAATAAGTGTTTTATTTTTAAAAATATATTATTATAATTAGTATGAACAGTGAACCATCACGCGGGTACTATTCATTTGAACCTTTTTTTTTCCTTGAGTTTTTTCCCGTTCTTCTTTTTTTAATTTTCACTTTTACTTATTTTCTTATTTTTTTCTTCTTAATTTTCACCCTTGGTTTTTTTCCTTATTTTTTTTTAATTTTCAAATTATTTCATTCTAATCCCTAAAAGTTTTTTTTTTAAATTTAATCCTAACCGATGCACTATACGTCTTTTTTCTTTTCTTTTTTTTTTTTTTCTTTTCTCATTAATTTATGTTCTTTTTTTATTTGATTGAGTGTTTAAATTTTTAAAAATTGATCATTATTTTTTTCAAATAGGCTGATGATTTACTTTATTTTCACACTATTCTTCTCAATCTTAGTTTTTTTTCTTTTTTAAAAAAATTATCACCGTTATTTTTTCTTATTTTCTTAGTTTATATATATATATATATATCAAGCAATTTTGCTCAATATATAAATTCGATTTACATTAATCATTGAAAATAAAACTTTTACTCGTAGTATACCATGCAAATCGATAACGCTATATATATAATGGGTGCTCGATCGTAACATAACGCGGGTATCCATTTAGTTTTGTTATTAATAAAAAAAAACTACATCTCATTGTGATTAAATGGTTCAACAAGTTGGCCCAAACTTGACGAGTCTGGCTCCATCTAAACCCGAATTAATTTTTATTTATTTATTTTTGAGTTTGTAATATACTAAAAGTGCGTTTAGATTAAGTTGTCAAATGAATATTCCACAAAATTCACGGATAAAGAAGTCAAATCATAGTTTATTAAATATTTACTTGTGTAACATGAGAATGTGGTGAGTTTGATAGTCAAAAGAGTATATTTCATTTTTTTTTGTCATTAGAGTTTATTTCTCAATTTAAAATATGAAAATTTTCATGAATCCTTTAATTATGACGTAGATGATTTGTATGCAATCAAAATATAGAGGCGAATTCAATCCCGACGTGTGAAAGTTAACTAAAAGATATCCTAATCGTAAAACTAGACGAAAAATAATAATTTACAAGCATATGGAAATTGTGAACCTTACTTTGCGTTTGAGAGTGAAAAAATAAGAGAGGAAATATTGAGGGTAAAATTTAAGGATGTAAAAAATGATTAACGGGGTAAAGTGTTAAGGATGTTTAGTAAAAAATGGAAAAAATTATGAATAATAGTGTATCACAATAAAAAATAAAATAATATTTTAAATTAAAAATAATTGTATAATAATAATAATAATAATAATAATAATAATATATTTGTATTTTAAAATAAAAATGGATGAGAAGAAGAATAAAATAAGGTTAAATCCAGGAAGAGGAGGGAAGGACCAAAAAACCCAAAAAATCCTCTCCAAAAAATTATTTACCCCTCCAACAACGTTAACATTTAAAGCTAGTTTGGGATTAGACGTTAACCTCCATAAAATATTTCTCTTCCCTTAAATTCATACCAAATATAAGTAAAAGGTGAAAAGTTATAACCTCCATACCAATTATATCCTTACTGGTGTAGTTAATTACAAATACTCTAAAACACAAGCATGTTTTACTGTTCATATTCACTGTTTTTTTTATTGTTCAATAAATAATGTTTTTTCAGTCGGCTTTTTTTTCCCTCTAAAACAGTAAAGTGTTAACCCCCTTTTTCCCCTCTATCGGCCTTTCTTCAACATTTTACAAGCAAGTTTTTTTTTTTTTTTTTTTTTTTTTTTTTTTTTAAGTGGTTTGGTTTCACTATTCCTGTAGCAAGTGTTTTTTTTTGGTTTACTTTCACCATACATTTCCCCCTTTGCTTTTTTTTTTTTTTTTAACATCAATTTAGGTTTTTTTAATTTAAATTTTTAGGTTTATTTTATTTTGATCTCTAAAATTTTAAAATAAAATTTTTAATCTTATAACCGATGCACTACACATAGTTTTTTTCCTTTGTTTTTTTCATCAATTTATATTATTTAAAAAAATTAATTTTGCTTTTTTTTTTCATCAATTTATGTTCTTTTTTAAATTTAATTAGGTGTTAAAATTTTGAAAAATCAATTGTTATTTTTTTTACACAAACCGACTATTATATATATATATATATATATATTACTTAGGTGGTCTTTTTATAATTTTTATAAATTTATATTTTTTATTTAATTAGGTGTTCTATCTATTCGTAGTATTGCGTAGATAATTTCAAAAATCAATATTTTCCTCAACATTAAATAAATTTTTTTTCTCATTTGTTAATTTTTGTAAAAGTCCATCTATTGATTATAATTTATTTTTTGGAATACAATATTATGAAAATTATATTTTAATTTTTTTAATTCTTGATTAATATTTTAGTTAAAATTATTATATTTTTTATTTTAAAATAAATCTATAAAGGAGAATGATTTATGTTTTTGAAGTAGAAAATTTATAAAAAAAATTACAAAAATTAAGTGAATAAAAAATTATAATTAAAAAATTTTAAAATTTTAAAATAATTATTTTTACCGAACCCGTTATGTATCACAGGAAAGCGACTAGTAATGTCAATTTGACATCACAATGTGAAACTTAAGGGGAAAAAACACACACACACCCCTCACGGGGTGAGAAATTATTTATAAATTAAAAAAAGAAAAAAGATTCTGATAAACAATCATTATCATAGTTTGATTGGTCACGGACCAAATCAGTCGCTAATTTCAATACTTTGGTTTGGAACAACGATTCAGTATCTTATGAAGTATTGTTCCTCCGCTAAAAAGAGATTCATGTATAATTATTACCATAGGTCTCATCATGTGAGTTACAGGGTGATAAAACAAATTTGGAGGCAATGGGCTGTGTCGAAATGCCCAAAAGCACTAATAAAACTCTAAGAGGAAACACGAAAGGCCCAAAACGGTCAACATAGACTCCTTTAGGGTTGGTTCATCGACCCAGGCCATTAAACCCTGCAAATCCCCCGTCTTTCAAAACTTCGTCTCTCTCCTCCGAAAAGAAAAGAAGCTTTAGGAGAGGGAAAAAAGTGCAAAAATGAGCAGCTGGAGAAGTCTCCTTCTTCGAATCGGAGACAAGTGCCCCGATTATGGCTCCAGCTCCGACTTCAAAGAACACATTGTCATTACAAACACTCTCTCTTTCTCGCTCTTATTTTCTACTTCCTGAAAAAACCCTAGGTTGCCAAGAAGTTTTTAAATATAATTCATTCTGTTCATGATTTTTTGAAAATTTTGCAGGAAACTTGCTTCGGTGTTATTCGGCGCGAGTTGGAGCACTCTTCTAACGATATTTTATCTGTAGAGTTCAACTCTTTCATTTTCTGCTTGATTCTGCTTTCCTTTTATTTTACTACAAATTAGCTTGTGTTTTTTCTGTTTTATTCTGAACAAGGAAATGCTTCTTAATAAGATTGTTTTGCTTTTATGGGCATGCTGCTTTATTTACTGTGATTTCTTTCCAAATGACAGTTCCTTCTCCAATGTGCTGAACAGTTGCCTCACAAGATTCCTTTATACGGGACTTTGGTATTGTACTTTATTATGTTTTCGTTTAATTTACATGCATGTAAAAATGTTTCATGTGTGCGAAATCGTGGCATGTATTCTTGATTATCTCAAAATGGGGCAGTGTTTACTCTCTCTCTCTTTTGGTTTCGTTTTCTCTAAATGAATTAATGTTAGTGTTTATCACCTTCCTTAGGTATCTCTCCTTATTGTCTGGGGATTGGTGTATATATGATATTCCTCGTGTAGTTTCTTGAGTCTGCTTTTTTCACGGACATGCGTTCTTTTAGCTTGTCTTATGCTGGGACTAGACTAATGGAACTAAGTTTGTAATCATGATGATTTTTAATGGGTTAATGAGCAAGTTAGAAGAACTAGGTGTGGCCCTTGTTAGCTACAAAGTACTGGAGAGAGGAATTTGAATAGAAAAGTGAGGAAGTCATGGTTGCAAAATCCGTTTGATCTTTTGATGGATCAATGTGATGCACTTTCTAACATGAACTCTGTTCCTAATTCGAACATTTATGGATTTATTTCCGGTCCTGAAAGCTCAGTGACATGACCTGTATTTTCCTCATCAATCTAACAAGATATAAAATCAAAAGATGATAAGAAAAGACTACAAAACTCCACTATAACAAGACTTATACGCTATGAAGGGAAGAAAACTTATCGTATTTATTTCACTATGATATTTTAGCATTTAGTGATTATGTTTAGCATGATACTCATGAGCTTATAATACTTGACGAAAAGTAGATGAAAAAAGGCATCAGCATAATCATAACTCGTGTGCTGAAGAAGACAACTGAGTTTTCTATGCTAATTCCTTTTTCTTCCTGGTGCTAGAGATGACTCTTTGGTCACTAAAACCCAATAAATGTCTGAAACATGCGCAGCATGCAATGTTACCTGTAGAGAATACTGATCATCTCCTTGTTTACTGCTTTGCATGTTTCCTGTTTTTTTGGACTGGTTTTGTGCTTTGTTGAGTTTGGTACCCTTGTCATTTACATGCTTTTTAAGATGAAGCTTCATTGCAAATACAGTGAACCCACCTGCTTATTCTCTTGCTTCTCTCGATCTCCCTCTCTCTCTCTCTCTCTCACACACACACACAGGTTGGCCTATTGAACTTGGAGAATGAGGACTTTGTGAAAGAAATAGTGGAGACAGCTCAAGCTAATTTTCAGGTGAGCATACCTGGCCTGAATGGGCTGTGATTATACTATTTGTAGTGCCCCTCGTAGCCATTGAGATCTAAATGCTTATACGTTCTTTAGGTTTCATACAATTCTATCACCGTGCATATAGTAATTGTGCCAGTAATAGTCATCGTGCGTAGTGCTTTCTTCAAAGAGGAGCTTCAATTGCCTATTATTGCATAAAATTATGAAGGGAGCTTTTTTACTGTTGTTAGTGCTTTTTAGAACTAATTTAGAGGGCTATATTCATGCGTGTGAGAGGTGAGGAGAGACTTAAGTGTGGATTTTGTAGCAAAACCTAGTTTATGCATCATTTATATTATGGGAGGCTATCTTGGAAGTACAAACACTATGATGCATTATGTTCTGTTCTTGTTTAATTCTATTCAGCACTGTTCTCACTGATGCACTATTCTTGTAAGTGACTTTTTGTTCTCTCCATGTCTGTGAACTTTCCAGGATGCCTTAGATTTTGGAAACTGCGACAGGATTCGCATTTTGATGCGCTTTCTTACTGTTATGGTACGTTGATATAGCTATTCCTCTTTGATCATTCAATGCACATCTATAGGTGATTGCTTTGCAAAGAAGATTAGGAGTGTCCATAATTTATTGTAAGGGTGAGAATTTCTTCTCTGCCTTTTAGGTTATTGGTAATTGGGGTGATAGAAAATAATTAGGATGTGAAGTAGATTTATGTCATTGTGATATGGCATTCATGGCATCTTGCATTTGCATTGTCTCTTTCAAGTCTGATAGGAAACTTGGAAAGCTGAGTGCATTCTTTGTTGTAGATGTGCAGTAAAGTTCTCCAACCTTCTTCTCTGTTGGTTGTCTTTGAAACATTGTTATCGTCTGCTGCCACAACATTGGATGAGGAGAAAGGAAATCCTTCCTGGCAAGCCCGTGGGGACTTTTATGTAAGCTGCATTTTATCCTGTCTTCCGTGGGGAGGGTCAGAGCTTATTGAGGTAATGCATTTCTTGGTTACGTTATTGGTGGTTAGCTTAGGCATCTCTCATTCCATAAATTCTGTTTCATCATGCTCTTGTTAATCAGATTGCACATTTCGTCATATTAAGTTCTAATATAAAGCACTTGTATCCATTACTATATGTATATGTGTTGACATGAATATCAAGGGCTGCTTGGGAGATGCTTACTTGGTGGTGTATTCAAAACTAATATGGTCATTGGGATGCTTACTTAATTGACACAAGCTATAAATTCTATTTTATCATGCATCTTTGTGAATTAGATTGCACATTTCGTCAAATTAAGTTCTCGGATCAAGTACTTGTATTCATGGTCATATATTTGTGTCAAAATGAATATCAAGAATTGGTCAGAAGATGCTTACTTCTTGGTGTATTGGAAACTATATGGTTCGTTGGGACCCTTTCACAGAATTGACACAAGCTAGAAATGTCAGACTGCTATTTTATGCTTCTTTAATATATGAAATAACAATGCCATATGATATGCCAAGTTTTGAATGCAAGCATTTGATTCATCAAGCTGCATTTAACTGCAGCATATCTTGTGGAAGATACCTCTCATATGGTTTTGTGCATGTGATAATGAATGCATGAACTGTCATAGGAGTTTAATCGGACTTATGATTCTTAGTTAAATCTTTAATTAGACTTATGTTTGTTGAATCTGAATATGTAAGCCAGTATTATATAACAGTTCTAAGAAACATTTGGTCTTTAGAGTACCAACTTGACCTTTTTTTTTTATTCAGTAGGGACTTGTTGACTGGTCTTTGGTACCTCTTTTCTTTGTCTTAAACTTAGTTCTCTCTTTTAAAGTTGCAGAAAAATTGAATCTCTCTTTACTCTGCTGTAATTTTTTTTTTCTTACCTTATTTTGTATATACTCATCCAGTCTTTGGTTAAGGACACCCAATATTATACGTGAAACCTCCCTCTATCTCCCCATTGCTAACATCAACATCTACGTGCAGCAAGTTCCTGAGGAGATTGAGAGTGTCATGGTTGGTATAGAAGCTTATTTGAGCATTAGAAGGCACAATTCTGACACCGGTTTGTCTTTTTTTGAGGATGATGATGAATCTGGGAGTGGTGTTGTTGAAAAGGTATCATTTCTCTTTTGTAGGTACTCTCTTATGTTGTTATCACATATTTGCAGAAGTACAAACAGGCGTATCGTTACAAATCAGAAATAACAAATGCATGTATGGAAAGTTTGGCTCCTTTCTAGAGATCCTGTTTTTATTGAAAGTACAAATTCATGTTCATGTTCTGTGATGTATTTTATGCAACAATGTTTTTAAATCTTTGAATTGTGCTTGTTTCTTTTCTATCTCAACAGTCATTCTTTATGTTTTGTTCAGGATTTCTTGGAAGATTTATGGGGTCGGATTCAAGTACTATCTAGCAACGGATGGAAAGTTGACAGTGGTAAGCTCTCAGTATTATTTGGATTTATTTCTTGTTTCAATACTTTTATTGCAAATTGTCTTTTTTGATATCAGCTATTATATTATCTATTTTACTGTGGTAAAAATAATGTTATTTTTTCTCAGATTATTGTTCTTCAGGTCAAGATGATGGTGAACATTTACGCTCTAAAAGGATAATATAGGAAGGAAATATGAATTCCTTGGAAGAAAAATTTAGAAATAGAACTTTTTAGTCTAATAAAATTAAAGTAGTGTTTTCTTTAGCAAGAAAACATTGAACAATCTTGTTCTGTTTTACTTTTTATTGGACCCAGGGGAGGGAGGTTGACGTTACAAATTTCTCTTCTGCTATGCCATTAAGGGTATATGAAAAAGGGTGCTTAATAACTCCTGAGAGAATTTCAGAAAAATATCCATGAGGATGAAATTAGCTTACCCAATCCTTTAAATCTGCTTGTTAATGAGAATTTTTATTCATAACAAATTTGATCGTGGACAGAAACTTTATTCACAACGGATAACTATTCATATCCTTTATTTGAAAGCTTGATAACATTTAAAGACTGTATTTCATTTATGATAATTTTCTTCTAAATGTAGTGTGAAATTTTGTGATTTTATCATTCCGTTATTTTCTTGCATTTAATGCAGTTTCTTGAATTCTGTGGTCATAGGGTGTCAATACGTTCCTCTACTTTTTTTCATCTCTTATGCTTTCTTCATGGTTATAATTTCGTGTTTGATTTATGCCACATTACATTCTCTAGTACCCAGACCTCATCTCTCGTTTGAAGCTCAGCTGGTTGCTGGGAAGTCTCATCAGTTTGGGCCCATCAATGCTCCCGAGCAACCTGAGCCGCTTTCAGAAGTTTCTGGGGTACTTTATGGTAAACAGAAGCATGATGCAGAGTTGAAGTATCCTCAAAGGATACGCAGGCTTAATATATTTCCTGCCAGTAAAACTGAGGTACCATACTATTCATATTGTGGATGCTTGTATGTTAGGATGCATGTAGAAGCATCATCTCAAACAGCAGGAAGGAGATAGCTGTCATGATTTTTTTTAATACTTCAGTGATTTCTTTTGAAACATCAGTAGCTCATTTGTAGACATTCAATTATAAAGATGACCTTCTGATGGGAATTGAATGTGTGCCTTTTGCATCACACCTTTTCTTTACTTTGTTACCTAGCTTTGACTTTGCACGTGATCTTTTCCATCAAATCCGTCGTTGGACATGGGAGAGGAAAGAGCAAGGAAACTGTATGAGTTTGGTATTCCATCGAATCTGTTTTTTTAATCTATCTGTATTTCATGTGAGCTTGTTATGCAGAGGTTTCCCATTATAACATAAAAAAATGACAGGGGACTGCAAGTATTGAAACTAGAATAGGGTAATCTATTTTTGGAAATCTGACGGCTTTTTTATTCCTCTCTGCAACTCAAGAGAGTTGAACATTTTGTTGAGTGTTGGAATTTGCTTTTTCTTTGGAATTTGTTGGCTGCTTCACAGTTTCAGTGTCTACAATGTCAGAATGTTTGTGACTCATGCTATTTCAACAAAAATAAGCACTTGCATTTAGATTTCGCATTTTGTGCTACATTTAGTTTTGCATTTTTTGTAAATTTTTTAAACTGCATTTTCACATTCATTTCCTCCTCTATTTGGATAACAGGATATGCAACCTATAGATTGCTTCGTTGTGGAAGAGTACTTGCTGGATGTGCTTTTGTTGCTCAATGGATGGTTTGTATAATACCACCCACTTGTCCTTCTACATTATTTGTTCCTCACTGTTTTAAACTTTTTCGTTAATATTATAATGAGTAGTCTGCCTTTCCCTGATCTATTGGGTTCACTTGAATATATGTATACAAAATAAAAGGTGCAATAAAATATACACAAACGACAATGATTCTTTCAACTTGTGGAGATTGATATAATCTCGTTTTTGATGTCACGTAGATGAGTTCAAATGTAGTATAAATGTATCAAACCAGCTATCTGTTAGCCCATCACCATGCTGTTGATGTCTCACGTCTGTAGATGGAATGTTGGTCCTGCAGGGCTTTCTTTTTCTGGTTTCTTATCCTTGATTGCTAGCGTGTATCCTTGGTGCGACATGTGCCTATATGGAGTCTTGAAAGTAATTAATTCAATTTCTACAGATAAAATTGGGTCCGTGGTTCTCCCTTAACCATTTTTTGAAGACATGCATCTGTCTTTTGTTTTCCTTTGTGCTGGATTGGATCAGTTTGATTTCATCTTTCTGTTCCTTGCTCCTTATCTCTAGTATTTGGTTATGCTCATTGATCTCAGATTTTTTATTTGTTTTGTATATTTAGTGTTAGTTATTTTTATTTCTTGGTTCTTGCAAAGCTAGTCGAAAGGAATGTGCTTCGTTCATGGTTGGCCTGCCTGTACCCTTTCGTTACGACTATCTAATGGCAGAGACTTTATTCTCTCAGGTAAGATAATTTTAGTTTGTGGTTTTGATGAAGTTCATCGTCAATTTTATGCAATATCTCCTTTTTTTCCCATTTTGGTCACATAAAGGCCCCGATTGCCCAACTATCCTGTCACAAGTCCTGTGTGTGTAATGAACTTGTGAAGTACCTATGTACTGGCAGATCAGTTATTATGCTGTCTAGGTGGTTATCTTAGTTTTTAAGAATATAAATTCCCAGCAATCTAGAATGGGTTTCTGATGCACCAAGCCCTCTTTATTCATCAATGCAAAGGTAGTTACCAGTTTAGATGCTCATTTTGCTATTTTACCTCTCCTTCTCTTTGTTGTTCATTGCATACCCTATATTGTTTTCACTAATTTTGAAACCAACCAAAATAATTTCCACAGAATTTTGAGGTTTTCATATTCATTATATATTTCTGGGATTTTGCCACATGTATGCAGTTCAGCAAACAACTTTCTGCATTGTCATGGCTATAGACGATTGACTCTTCTTTCTTACATGGATCAATCCTTGTGCTTTTGTTAAACCAAGGAAAAATTGAAGTGAGATTGAAAACAATCAAAAGAGCAAACTATTATTATCCTGTAATATGTAAGCTTTTGGTGTATTATTACGACAGAAAATCTTAACATCTACAGCTACCCAAGATGACCCTACTTGACCATTCAATTAATTTGAATGTATTAGATTTTGTTATTTGGAAATAAGTTGAAATGAAACATAAGAAGATGTGTTCTTCTGAATTTGAAACACTTGATGCTTCTTCTTCATCTTCTTTTTTTTATAAAGATTCTTCATTTTGGAAGACGGGGAAATAAAAGTTATAGCAAGCAAATTGTCTGAAATGTATTTTGATTTGTAACTGTAGGGTCTTGTAATGCAGTGCAGTCAAAATTATTTTTGCCAATGGCTAATAAAACAGCATGGACTTTTGTGTTTGTTATTATTGATTTTGTTTGGCAAATTTTCTAATAAACACCATCTCTATATTGTTCTTACAGTTACTTTTGCTACCACTACCACCGTTCAAGCCGATATATTATACACTTGTGATAATGGACCTTTGTAAGGTATGGCAGATGCTATTAACTTCTACTTTTTCTTCTTTTGCATTTGAATGTATTGTTGATTCTATGAGAAAACTCACTGGTAAGCAAAATTTAATTGCATTTTTAAATATTTCTGACAATGAATTATGCTTGTCAGGCTCTTCCTGGAGCCTTCCCTGGAGTTGTAGCTGGTGCAGTCCGTGCACTTTTTGAGAAAATAGCTGATTTAGATATGGAGTGTCGGACAAGGCTCATCCTTTGGTTTTCACACCATCTGTAAGTCTAAACTTTGAAAAGTTAAAAAAAGAGAGTTAAGTACTCTCTCTCTCTCTCTCTCTCTCTGGAGGGCAGGGAGGGTGGAAAGGGAATATTGGTTTCAAATGAATGCCAACTTTTGATTCTTTATGGCATTTGCATCGTATCAATATAAAGTTCATGCTTATTAACAGGGGGGCCTTGGTTGGTAAATGGGAGTCTTATCTTTTGTTTGTCTAATTGTTGTGAGAATATTTTTAATTTCGAAATAATTTAAAAGATAATGTTGGGAACTGAGTAAAGCTTCGTTTTTTTTTTTTTAAAGCTTGGATAGAAAGTCTCAACAAAGGTTTGCATTGCTTATATAAAGTTGGAGATAGAAAGTCTTAAGTAGTAATTTCTAGCAATTTTGCATGACTAAGATTTTGATACTTCAATCACATTTTGTATCTCTTGCAAGGAAAACGTAGTGAAAGTTCCAGTTGATTGTTATTAGGTTTAAGGTGCTGGAATTTAGTGATTTAGGAACTTAAAAATTGAAAGCAGGTTTGAATAGTTCATGAAATAAAAGAAAAACATGGTAGAAATTATTTTCAATTAAAAGTTAAGCATCCCATTTTAGGGGTTAAGGAGGTCATTCCTTAATTACAGCATCACACTTTCAAGAAACCAAACCAATTAGCAGCACTTCTTTCCCAAAATTTGCAACATAAAGTCTACAAGCATATTTATAGACTTGAAATATTCCTAATCTGAATTAGATTTGGACTCCTAAATAAGAAACGTAAAATATTCTTACTTGGACCAGGAAAGGGAAACCTAAATATGAAATCTAAACCTTTTGCTAATCAGTAGATGCTTTATATTTCCAAATAGCTAGAAAATTCTCCTTTGCAGAAATGCAGTGAAATTAAAAATCTTCCCTTGCTTAACCATACAGTTGATTCCCCTAGATGCATCTGGAAATGGCTTGAGTCATAGATAATTTCTGCCGTGATAGTTAGATTTTTTTTTTCAGTTAGCCTGAGTGCATTTTATGATGGTTTCCTGATTTCACAGGTCAAACTTTCAATTTATCTGGCCATGGGAAGAGTGGGCTTATGTTTTAGACCTACCTAAGTGGGCCCCACAGCGCGTGTTTGTTCAAGAGGTCTTGGAGAGAGAAGTCCGTCTTTCATACTGGGACAAAGTTAAGCAGGTATAAAGCAATGCTCAAGACTGCTATTTCTTTCACTACAAGTTTCCCAAAGTTCTTTCTAATTCGCCCCAATGGTTAAACTTTGGACAATGATAGGGCATACCATGGCAAAGACTATAGCACAATACTTTTTTATGTGTCAATTTCTTACTAGTTTAAAATGACTGGTTCCGGCAGCATCTTTTGTATAGTCTATAGCATATATAATTTCCAACCAGTTAGAAGCCGTCACCTCTGCAATGTGCGTGCAAATCATGATGTGCTCCTAACCTTTCCCTGAAACTTGTGATAGTTTCATTGTTCTTATGTCCTAATTGAGACATGAAATATGTGCCGTTCTTCAACACCTCCACTTTCTATTCTGCACTTCTGGCATTGGCTTTTTTCTTTTTCTTTTTCCCTCCTTTTTGGCTTTTGGTCTGAGCATCTCGCCATAACATTTAGAAAGCAATTATGCTGCTAAGCTTTCTTTTGGCTTATCAGACATCCTGTTGAAAAGCCAACAGATTTTCTGGATGCAAAACTTGGTTTAGTACAGATGCCATCAATTTTTATTTTTTTTCCCTTTGAATTTTGTTCTTAATGTGGGTGAAATGGAAAACCTACAATATATGGTATGTGGTGCAAGGTGAAACTCTCTCTCTTTCTATCTCTCACCTATGCTGGGTTGTAAAAGGGGGCAAATTGAGGAGCAACATCTTCCTTTTCTCATAGTTTTTAATGGTTGAGGTTTTGCTACTGTTGATTCATGATTGACACATTTCCTTAACATTATCTGTCTGATTAGAGCATTGAGAATGCACCTGCTTTAGAAGAGTTGCTCCCACCAAAGTGTAGTCCAAACTTTATATACAGCATCGAAGATGGTAGAGAAAGAACTGAGCAGCATGCCCTGTCTGCAGAGCTCAACAACAAGGTGAAGGGAAGGCAAACTGCCCGAGAAATAATTTCATGGGTAGAAGAAAGTGTATTTCCCAGTCATGGTTGGGAAGTTACCCTTAAAGTGGTTGTACAGACCCTTCTTGATATTGGTTCTAAAAGTTTCACTCATTTGATGACTGTTTTGGAGAGATATGGCCAAGTTATTGCACGAATTTGTCCTGATCACGATAAGCAGGTCATGCTGATAGCTGAAGTTAGTTCCTACTGGAAGAACAATGGTCAAATGACTGCCATAGCAATTGACAGAATGATGGGTTATCGGCTAATTTCTAATTTGGCAATTGTGAAATGGGTCTTTTCTCCAGCAAACATTGAGCAATTTCATACATCTGATCGCCCATGGGAGGTATGTTAACAGTTCTTTTTGTTGGTTTTATTCTCTTTCTTTCTTTCCTGCTGAGATTCTCCATAATTTATGTTTTGTATCAACTTTGTGCGATTGCATCTTCCATGTGAGGGTTGATGTTAAATGATATAAGTTTAATAATTAGCAATGGAGAAAACTAGATGTGCCAATTTGAAAACTCTAGAACTCAATTCTTCAGACAAATGGAAAGTAAAGATTAAAGACTTTATCAGTGATTTTAAGATATACTTTCTGCTTGAAATATCAATGCATGAAGGAGGTACAAGAATTTGTCTTTATACCAAGGTTTCAACCTCTGTTACGAGGAAGAAAGAAAAGAACTAAAGGACCGGTAGAAGACAAGGAAAAAGGTGGGTCCTCTCTATTAACCTATTTGGTTTAGACTTGAGAGAAAGGAAGGGGATGGAAAGAGAAAAGGGGACCTTTACCTATTGTCTTCCTTTCCATTGCCAACCGTTTTGGGAAAGAAAGGTTTTGATGGTTTTCAAAGGAAAGGTAAACTTTCTAAATGTGTTCCCTTTTACAGAAATAATGGAGGAGAAGCGACTTCCAAATACTCATGCTGAACCTTTCTGGACTTATAGGAGAGTGGATTGTTAACTGCAACTTATTGTTTCGGTTATCAAAGACTCAAAACTTAAGGAGGGTATCAACATTTTATACTTGCTGGGTTGATGTTAGCTTTCATACTTATAAGTCTTGCGGCCTTTTCAACAATCATTTATCTTATAAGCCACATACCAAGAGCTCTTGAAAGTTTAAGGCATCTGCATATTCGTAAATCGGTAAACTGTCTTGGTATTCGTTTGAAGCTTTATGGCTGTTAATCTTTCCCCAGGGAAAGCCTGTATCATAGTTCAAAGTGAATTAATTGTCGGCAACTTTTATCTGTGACTGAAAACTAATTCGCTTGCTGTGTTCACATGCTCGTGTGCTTATTATTTTTATGATAAAATCACACTTTTTGTTCAGCTTTGTTATATTATCATTGATAAGCTTAATAGCGACCAAACTTCTTCTTGTTGTGCTCCTTTACTAATTCTTTCATTTCCGTTAAGATCTTTATGTCTGAGGTTTCATGGTGGCAATTCGACAGATGTATATAAAAGATTTCACCTGTGCTTGATTATCATTTTCTTTCTTTTTCTAAGCAGAACATTTTCCCTGCTTCTGGGTTTACTTTTTCTTGCTAAATATCCTTGGAACTTGGAAGATTTCATATGTTTTTATTAACAATCTCTTAAGATTTTTCTCCTTTTTCAATCCCCAATTGTTCTTTCACAGGTTCTTAGAAATGCTATCAGCAAGACTTATAATCGTATATCTGATCTAAGAAATGAGATATCATCTCTTAAGAAGAGTGTTGTATCAGCTGAAGAAGCAGCGACGAAGGTAAAAGCAGAGTTAGATGCTGCTGAATCAAAGCTCTCTCTGGTGGATGGTGAGCCTGTTCTTGGTGATAACCCTGTGAAGTTGAAGCTCTTGAAAGCAAATGCTGAAAAGGCAACAGAGGAAGAGGTGTCTGTACGTGATTCTTTGGAAGCCAAGGAGGCTCTTCTTACTCGGGCTCTTGATGAAAATGAGGTAATCAGTGGGAGATTAGCTGTAAATTTCCTCCTTTTGGCTGCCTTTAATTCTTAGCAGTGTTCTCATGTTGCATGAACTCTTATCTGATTCATTTATGCCAAACTAGTTTAGTTGCCTGAAGATGTTAAAAGTGCTTTCATATAATATCAAGTTCTTCTAAAGAAGCATGGGTTGTCACCTCGGAATGGTAGCTTGGTTAAAGTTTTTGTGTGGACAAATAAAATCTAGGAAACTCATTTAGCTCCGATAAGTGTAGGTAAATGCTGTGTTGCTTCATGCTAAATGTCTCCTACTTGGGTGCTTTCACTTGAGTGGCTTGCAGCTCATGCCTTTGTTCTCCTAGTCAAGGTACAAAAAGGCAGAGCAATGTATTGGCACTTATTAGCTTCCACTCCCACCCTTCTCCTTTTCTTTTGTCTTGCATCTCAGTTTTCTCAGTTGGATCACCTGGCTTGAAAAATATAATCTGAAAAAACACTTCATTTAATAGCAATATCCAAGTATGCATCTGGCTTGCATGTTCACGCTTAGTTTTCCATCTTTGCCTTTGTTATTCAGTGAATCCATGTCTGGATGTGGCCCATTAGCATCATTTGCTTCTACGAGTAGTTGAAGTCTAGTTTGATAGTAGCAATTGGTTGGGTTTGGCTTTGACTTGTTTCTGTGGAATTTATATATTCTTATGCATGCCTGTATGGGGGGTGTGTTTCTGATCTCAATGCACAAATGTCATGGTCAATAACAAACCTGGAATAAGAAAAAACAAACCCAACCTCTCCTGAATAAGATATTCATGTTTTCATTCCTCTGATTTGGAGGCAGCTTCTCGTTCTTTCTTTCTAACAATGATTTGCATTTGTAGGCATTGTTCCTCTCTTTGTACAAAAACTTCTCAAATGTGTTGATGGAACGCTTACCTGATCCATCTAAAGCTCGATCATTGCCGGAATTGAAGTCAATTCAAGCAGATGAAATGGCTGTTGACCTTGAAGAATCATCAGTAATGGAAGTGGATAATGAGAGTGGAAGACCCGACAAAAGGTCTCTTACCTCCTCTTTCTTACCATTTTCATTTTTGTTTCCTTCTTTGCTTTTACTTTTCATTTTATGAAATACAAGTCAACAGCTGTTGTTTTTCCCTCAACTTTTGCAGTCAGTCGAATGGAGGAAAGGCTAGCAACATCTACAATGTGGGAGAGAAAGAGCAATGGTGTTTATCAACTCTCGGCTATGTTAAGGCTTTTGCAAGGCAGTATGCTTCTGAGGTGAGTATGGTGTAATGAGCTTCTATTCTTTTTCTGACTTTGTAGTTGTTTGGCATTTATCTGCAGATATTCTCTCTTTCCCTCTTTGATAGACCTTGTAAAGCTTTTGCATAACATTTTTACTGCACTGGGTGGGGAACGATTCAAATTTTAGCCACATCCCTTGGTTGCTCAGCAGCATACATTTTGTATTCAATTTAGCGAACTCGTTGATGCTGACCTTAGTATTGGAGCTCCTGTGCTTCTTTTTTTTTTTTTTCGGGCTTATCTGATTTAAGAAACCTAGGTCAGCAAAAGCTATTCTTTTTGCTGCAATGGGTCCTTGACTGTAACCATTTGTCTTTGCTCAGTCATGCTACGAGAAGGTCATGGCAACTGACCTAGCGGCAGTCTGATAGCACTGCCAAATCGTCTGCACTCTGCAGAGAAGCTCAAGGCTTATTTGCCTAGACTTATTTTAGAAATTGGCATTTGGTATATCGTTGGATGGTAGCCAAGGCAGTCCCTACTTTTATTTAGGCCTGTTGAACACAATTAATTGGCAATACTTGTAAGAAATGCAAATCATCAACTCCATAAAAAGTAGAGGAACACACACAGAGGGAACTTAATATGGAAATCAATATAGCTGCATATGTTCACAACATTATAGATGTCGAACAGAGATATATCTTTATTTTTCTCATTACACTCTACTCGATTTATTGATGTTTCATCGCGTCTGTCCCATCTGCGCTTCCTGTTTTGAAACATTGCATGAAATAGTTTTCCTGAAATGTGGATCTTCTTAGCAACATAAGCTTGGGAACATTGATGTGATTACTGATGTTACTTGACAGTTTGTTTGATACCAGCAAAGTATTTGTATGAAGTTGTTTCAAGGGAACTGCTCTAGCCATTGCTCTCTTATGTGCTTAGTATAAATTCATGATGGTCATAACTGTCATTTGTGTTTTTTCAGTTTAAATTTGTCGTTGAAGATGATCTAAAGTGCAACAGATATCTAAGTTTCTGACATCTATGCACTACTTCGTTTGCAGATATGGGCTCACATTGAGAAGCTAGATGCAGATGTATTCACAGAAAATGTGCATCCTCTTTTCAAGAAAGCATTTTATTCTGGTTTAAGTCGGCCAATCAATGATGTATCATCTGGTTAAAATTTATAGTGACTTTTTATCTCAAAATTTGTTCCTCTGTATCCATAATTGATTAGTGTATATGACCAAGACCATGGGAAGAAAATTGAGTTTAGCCTCAATATTCAAGGGCAAGTGAGCTGTTTTAATAATGCTTGTGTTTTTTCGGCTACAGCTATGAGAGAGTCAGTTAGATTAGGGAGAAGCTAACCGAAGCTGCATATCAGGAAACCTAGGTTAACGAGTATTCTGTATATTAACTCTGTAGCATCGCTGATATTGTTTGTTTCCTTCCCTGGTGTTTTTGGCACAGCTTTCACTCGGTTCCATTGAACTTATTGTGCGTTGAATGCTATCTATCAATTTGTTGGTTGTGCTTAGGCCATTCGGATTTTAATGCTCATGATCAGCAATCTCCCCTGGCAACAAAAGTTGTCTTCTTGTTTCGATAGTAATCAATTGTAAGTTCATACTCTCAGCCCTTTTCTTTTTGCTCAGAAATCGAAAGACCACGGTTCAAGTTAATTTTAGTGATGATCATTGTCACTCTGTTGAAACTTAAGACGAATAATTATTCACTTTCCGCTCATGCTCTCGTGTCTGCCTTTTCTTCGCTTGAACTGCTAGCAATTTATTGCTGTCAATCAGGTCTCGTGATTGAGGCCAGTTTTTGTGTGTGGTTCATTCGTTATGGTGTGCCCTCGTTAAATATTTATCAGGGGCCATTTTATCATCAGTTGACGTGACAAGATGTTTTCGTTTCCTACCTGACTAACGTGCCCGGTGTTGTGTTGTCAAGGAGAAATTTTAGTAGCAGTAACCATCAATAATCTGTCTATTTTGAGGGAAGAAACAGATATAAAAGGGGCTAAATTATCGCATTTTGATGCGTTAAAAATGATAAAATATTTTTAATTAAATTTCATCTCTCTTTCTTATTTCTCTCTATTCGAGTATCGTTAAAATTCAAGTATAAAGTGTCAGGTTTGTAGTATCAGAAAGCATGAACCTTTAATTTTCTTTTAACCGCGTTGCAAATGAATGAAAACATGAAAGTTTTGAAATGATGTGAAACAATCAATCACGTTATCTTGTCTTGAGATGTACAATATCAGGTCACGTAGTTGGTGGGGAAAATGCTATAAAATCCTTTGGGAAAGGAGGAGAGGTGTACGCATGCTATAGGCGAAGTACAATACGATCCTGAATGAAAAGAATTGGCTTCTCAAGTGCCTTCTACAGCGAAGGCATTGCTTTCGTTCTTGCTGAATGATTGTTGGGCCAATAATGATGATGTTCCATTACCCTTGGACCATGTGGTATATACGCATCGTATGGGTAGGGTGTCCATGGTGGCTATTCGTGATCAATGTTTGATCGAATTCAGGCCAAAAAAAAAAAAAAATGGCTGTCTGCTTCAGTTGTGCATTGGATTCCAGGAAGGCACTTGTAGATGAGACCAAATGTGAAGGTGGTGCCTCTACAAAATCGCAAGCAAGGGCATTGTGCGCCAGGAAAAGGAAGACGAGGGAGAAAGATCCAATATGAAGTGTGATCAATAATAGAACCTGTGAATCGAAACTTGCAATCTGAGCAACGCAATTTTTATCACCTAAAACGACAACAACAAAAAAAGGTATGCTAATGGCATGCAATTCTATTTAAAGCGCGTTAAGGCGTTCGCAATGTTCGTGGGGTGCAGAAATGAGATGCTCGTGAGTGAGAGAAGTCTGTCCCAGGTGTCATTTCATTTACTAAGTAGGTTGGGAGAGGGAGAGCATTGACAGTTCTGAAAATGAAAAAGACATACAGATTTGTTTGGTTTCTACAGCTCAACCAGTAGTTACCCTCAGAAGGAAAGGGAAACAAGAAAAAAGAAGAAAAAGAAAGAAAGAGCTTTAACCAAGTAACAAATGAAATCCCAGATTAGTAGTAGTTCTTTTTCTATTATTGTTATTCCCAGCATTTCACTTTGGTACGTACAATAGGAAACAATGACTGCGTCATCTCTAATTAGGCAATTCACGACTTACCATCAGCAGCTCACACGCAAATCTCTCACTGTATCACAGCGTTTACTCATTTCATTTATTTCTGAATTCTTTCTTTCTGCGACGTTCTTATTAAGGGATAAGTTAATGATGAATGAATTCACCATTGACTTCCTACAGTATATATATATATATGTGTATATATATATATATATGCGGGTGTAAAAAAAAAAAACACGTGAAAGTTTTAACAGGTTAGTGATATGATCTTAATATGGAACTCAATGATGAGCTATATTAATCTAGCTAATGGCTCCTGTTGATTATTGAAACTAATTCTTGTACAAAAATTATTATATTTCAGATTAGATATAGGGTTTGTTTGGTATTATTGTTGTGATGTGTTGTACCTTCTTAATTATTATGTTTTGTTGTGTTGAGCTTGATTTAAAAGTAAAATAAAAGTTCATAATTAAATATTGTTCTTAAAAAAATTTATATTTTTACTTGAAGAATATAGAAAATCTCAATATCCCACAATAAATTGTCAAAACAATACATTTTTCTTTTAAGATGTCATGTAATTTGGCTTTAAAGCAAAACATGGTTACAGACAAAGTAGATAAGTATATTAATCGCTTATTCAAAAAGCAAATGATGAAACTACAACCTAAAATTTCAGATCTAGCGAGCTAGTGCTTCCAACTTTATGAATGAAAGATGCATAATCAATTAAGCGAGAAAAACATAGAATTTATGAACACAAACACCAAAAAAAAAAAAAAAAAAGAAGGTCGAATTCCATTAAAGTTGAATGCAGGTCGATTTTGAAAGATCGAAGCATGATTTGTCTGTTTAAAAACCTAATCAAACTCTCTCTTGTTTTCTTCTTAATTGATTGGAAAAAAAAAAAAAAAAAACTTAAGTTGATCAGTATCTTGTAAATAGTGACACCATCAATGTGAAACGAAAGTTGAAGGCGGCTGGCTATCCACACCTCCTAATCTCTCCTATCCTACAGCTTCCCTTTCATATTGGTCAAAGTACCTAAGAAAAAGTAGGCGATGACCCTTCTTTTTAATTTTTTTATGAATATCGAAATTGCAGGGATCGAGCAAGTTTCTGTTCGGGCAAGGATCTTATAGATAGCCAGACCTAGACAGGGCTCAAGTAATTTGGGAATCATAATGTCTTTTTAAAAAAAAAAAAAAAAAAGAAAGAAGGAAAGAAAGAAAGAAAGAAAGACGAAGAACAACCCGTATATTTAGGTTTAGGAGTTACTATAACTTAGAACCTGATTAATTGTGCTGGCCCAAAAAAAAAAAAAAAAAAAAAGTATCCATACACTGTAAAGTTAGAACCAAATTCATGGGCGTAGAGTCATTACAAACAAACCTGGCTGCAAAATCATCGTAAGCCTTATCCTGGTGCAAAACATGCAATGCATGCTTACTAACCTCTTAATAAACCTAAAAACTCCTTCATTTCCTCGATTAAAGCAGATTTATTTAGATTCGAGTGATATGGCATGCTATTTCAAAACTTTATTATCTTGTGAATCATCTAACAGTGAAATGTGAAGTTTGCATCCCCTATATGAATATAATCAGAAAAAAATTATTATACAATCAGAATGGAGTTTATAATAGTCAAATTAATAATGATCTTTAATAGAATCGATCAAATAATTTATTTAGAATTTTCCTGATTTGGATACTTTGATCTTAGAGAATCCTAGTTCATTTTAATCTTTTTTTTTTTTTCCCTATCTATGGCAGTTACAAATCTATCTTATTTATTTGTGACCTAACACTTCGAATTAACACTTTGTGATTGTTTTAGATTATTTCTTTTATGTTGTTGACAAAAATAACCAAAATTGTACTTGTAGTAGCAGGCTGGTCATAAGTAATAAGATATTCTTTTTCAAAGTCCAAACTACCCACTTTTAGACCCATTTCTCTAACAAGGGAAAAGTCGCTGTTTCTCTCTCTATACACGTTTAAGGCACTATTTAGAGAGAGAAAATCAAAGCAAACCAAACCCCCTTCTCTCTCTAACTCTCTTCTAAAAAAGAAAGAAAGCCTCCAAGATTATGTCTTTTTAGAGAGAGAAAGGCCCAACAAGTATAATAACCAAAACCCAGCATTTCTCATTCTTTCTAAATTAGAATTTGTCAATGTTTTCTCTGCAAGCAGAGATCGAAGTAGGAAAAAGATAGATAATGGAATTTATAGGTAAATCAGTGAAGAAGAAATTCAAAGGGTTCGGTTTCTTTAAAGGAACTGTCAAATCCTACGACGAGTCGTCTGGTTTATTCGAGATCAAGTACGAGGACGGTGATTTCGAGGAGCTTGATTTCTCTGACGTTGCTTCTCTGTTAGGAGAGGAGAAAGAAGCCGCCGCTGTTGCTACGGCCGGCCCTACTGACCCCAAGCCCCGTTTGGGCCGGAAGCCCAAGAAGCGTCGCCGTGCTGAGCCTAAGAAGCCTGAGAGCGGAAGAGAGTCAGGTAATTATGGGGTTGTTGAGGCTAATGGGAATTTGGATATGAATAGAAATGTTGATTTGAACGATGGGTTTGTTGGGGATTTGAGGGAAAATGTTGATATTAATGTTGATTTGAATGAAACCCTAGAGAAAGGAAGTGGGGTTGTGGAGAATTTGAGAGAGGGGGTTTTGATTTGAATGCTGGGTTTAATTTTGATTTAAACGAGGAGGAAGAGGAGGGTCTTAATCATAATCGTAACAATAATAGTAATAATATTAATAATTTAAGTGTTGATTGTGAAGGGAAGAAGAGAGGGTGTATTGACTTGAATGTGGACGTTAGTGGTGATGTGGACGAGAATTTTAAGGAGGTTGATTTGGAGTGTAAAGTTGTAGAGACCCAAAGGAGAGAATGTGGGTTTGATTTGAATTTGGGGATTGATGAGGAAATTAGGGAGGAGATGGATGTTGGTTTTGAAGGGCAATTGGCAGAGACTACAAATTTTGATATTCAAAGGACGGGGGAGGTTGAGAAAAGTCAAATTGAAAGAGCCATTCCTAATGGGAAATTGGAAGAAGTTCATGTCACCAATGATTCGTGTGTAGGGTTGGGTGAGAGAATTGAGGAGGTGAATATTGTTTATGTTGAAGACTTTAGGGCTTGTGGTTCTGTTGGGGTGATGGATGTTAAGGATGTCAAGGAGGATTGTCCCGAGGTGATTGATTTAACAAGTGCCTATAAAGAGGAGAGTGGGAGTCGGAGGAGGGGGAGGAGGAGAAAACATGCAGATAATTTAGATTCTACTGCAGAAGTGACTGTTCTCTCGGATGCTACTGCTGTTAGGGACGATAGTTCGGTGGGGAGTGGTAGTCGGAGGCGCGGGAGGAGGAGAAAACTTGCAGATAATTTGAATCCTACTCCAGAAACAATAGTTCTCTTAGATGCTAATGCTGTTAGGGAAGATTGTATGATGGAAGTTGATGAGAACCTAGGTGATATTGGAAGTTCATATAAACAGGTCAGTGCTTGTGCTAGAAAGAGGAGAAAACTTTTGGGTAATGGGAATTCTATGCAAGAAACAACGGTCTTGAGAAGAAGTGCTCGTAGAGGATCAGCTAAAAACAATATGTTAAAAGATTTATCAATGTCTGCTGTAGTAAGTACATTAATGGAGGACAAGCCTGTTAAATCACATCACGAATGGCCCAAAGAGCCTGTGGTTCTTCCTCCAAAGTTGCAACTACCTCCTTCTTCACAGAATTTAGATTTGAGTGGAATTCCCGTACTTGACCTATTCTCAGTTTACGCCTGTTTAAGGACATTTAGTACTTTGTTGTTTTTAAGTCCATTTGGGTTGGAAGAATTTGTGGCAGCACTGAAGGGTAACTCCCCAAGTTCATTATTTGATTTTATTCATGTTTCAATTTTGCAAACTCTAAGAAAGCATTTGGAGCACCTTTCAAATGAAGGTTCTGAATCTGCTTCTAATTGCCTGAGGTATTCTTTTTGTTTCTTCCTACTTTTTTGTTTTTGTCGAAGTTGATTTGGTTTTCATTTGAAACGTAGGTTTATTGGTATTTATTATTTCGAAATTGACTATCATGTAGGAGCCTTGATTGGGGTTTGTTGGACATAATTACATGGCCTGTTTTCATGGTTGAGTACCTCCTGATCCATTGTTCAGGGCTGAAACCTGAATTTGATCTTAGTAGATTGAAGCTGTTAAAAAATGACTACCACAAACAACCTTTATCTGTGAAGTTGGAGATACTACAGTGTCTTTGTGATGACATGATTGAGGTGGAAGCCATTAGGTCGGAGCTTAATAGGAGATCTTCAGGAGCTGAACCTGATGTGGACTTTGATCGAAATGTGGGTCTTGGGGCTTACAAGAAGAGGAAGACTGCAATGGATGTCTCAGGTAACTCATGCCTAACGGAGGATGCTGCTGATGACACTAATGACTGGAATAGTGATGAATGTTGCCTTTGTAAGATGGATGGGAATTTAATATGTTGCGATGGTTGTCCTGCTGCATATCATGCAAAGTGTGTAGGCGTTGCCAATAACTCTTTGCCAGAGGGTGACTGGTATTGTCCTGAGTGTGCAATTGACAGGCAGAAGCCTTGGATGAAACCTCGAAAGTTGCTTCGAGGAGCAGAGCTACTGGGAGTTGATCCTTATGACCGGCTATATTTTAGCAGCTGTGGTTACTTGTTGGTGTAAGTTTTTCCTATTGGTCATAGACCAGTCGTTGATGATCATATCTGTTATGTGCTGTTTTATTGTTTATGAGTAGCTGGTATGTATAACACAGTCCAAAGTATTTAACAAAACAATGTAAGCAAGTAAAATATAAGGTTACAAAGTTTAAGAAGTGTTGAAGTCTGTTTTCTTATATAGGTTAAAAAATTTAAGACCATCAATATCTCAAGGCAACTAATTTATATGACTGATTAATTGGTAGTAGCCATGAGATGTCTTTTCACTAGCTGATGTCATTAACAATAGCTATACACTATTTACTTTGTGTAGTTTATTCCTTTACCTAGGGAGCCGTGTTTGTGATTGTGATCTTATCCCTTTAATATTAAACTTGTGTGGTCATAGTTTTTGAGCAATGGTTATTTTTATGATCCATCTGCATGTGAGCTTGCTTCAGCACATGCATATTTTTTCATGTATTGTTGATCTTGCAGGTCAGATACATGTGAGACTGAATTTTCATTCAATTACTATCGAAGGGACGATCTTAGTGTTGTTATCGAAGTGCTAAAGTCTTCACAGATGATTTATGGCAGCATTTTGGAGGCTATCCACAAGCACTGGGATATGCCTGTTACTTTATATGCGGCAAGTAGCAATTTGAGCTCCTTAAAGCATACAACAAGCTTAGACTTGTGCTTACCCCAATGTACTTTGGCATCTTTAGAAACATGTGCAACTAGAATTGAGGCTGCTGATGGACGAAACCTGGAAAAGTTCGTTAATGGATGTTGTGGTCATCTTGATGTTGAGCTTTCAAAGTCTGTGAGCGTGACATGCATGAGTTCTGAAGGATCAGCAGAAACCACCCAAATCAGTTCGGGGAACCAGAACTTTCAGAAAGGCCCTGACTGTGCTAGCAGATCTGCTGGCTTCTCAAATGAATCCGAGGTTCCAGGAATGTCTCCGCTCGTGGGAGACAATTCTATGACTTCCAACAGTTTGGATGTTAAACAAGAAAGGAATCCATGTTCTTCTCCTGCCAGACGTCCTTCATCTGCTGCAAAGGCAACAGCTGAGGTCACATTACAGTTGCAGCCTGGAACTGAATACATGAACTATTATAGTTTTGGTCATACATCTGCTTCAATTGCGGATGTTTTATTGTCTAAGTCATCAGACAAGACCACTGAAAACTCCATAAAATCAGATGAGGATATGGCTTTAGCTCAGATGAAGGTCATCTTAAAGAAATCGAACAAGTTCCGTTGGTCAAGTATTCGTAGTCTAAATGCTGAAGTCCAGAAAGAAAAATGTGGATGGTGCTTCTCCTGCAGAGCTACCACTGATGAGCCAGATTGCTTGTTTAATATGAGTTTAGGTCCTGTTCAGGAAGGGTCTGAAAGTGAGGTGATCAGTCTTCAATCAAAAAGAAACAGGAAAGGCTATCTTATAGATTTAATAAGTCATATTCTCTTGATTGAAGATCGGCTTCAGGGGCTGTTACTGGGTCCATGGCTGAATCCGCATTATACCAAGCTTTGGCGTAAAAGCATTCTCAAGGCATCTGATATTGTGTCAGTTAAACATTTACTTCTCAAAGTAAGGACTTCTCCTTTACCTTGATGGTCAACGATGAGCAGAATTGATATTGCATTTCATTTCTTCACGATTTCTATTATTCAATGTCGGACCCATTTCAAGGTTCAAACTGACATGTAGAGCCTATCTCGTTTGCAAGCTTTTAAACCCCACTCGCTTGATTTTAAAATGTTCGTCAAAATTCTATTTTTCTTTAATTCGGGTTTCAGCAATAGGTTATATAGTGCAGTTGGATTACCTGTAGTCCCTTCTGTAAACAAATCTGAAGCATCCCCTTATGGGTCTGATGTGCAATAACTTGATTTAGAACAGTCAATGTTGTCTTGAAACCAGGATTTGCTATATTTGTTTATTGAATTTATCTAGTCTCATTTAGCAATCCAAGTTGGGTAGGTAGTCTTTGACTCCTTGGTCTAGAACAGACCATGTTGGTCCAAGCTGTAATAATCTTTACCGTAGTTATTGCTTGATGCATTTGCTTAAATTCACGGTGTTATGGGCATTGTGCAGTTAGAGGCAAATGTGCGGCGGCTTGCACTTTCAGCAGACTGGGTGAAACATGTGGACTCTGGTGTCATGATGGGATCATCTTGTCATATTGTGACTGCTTCCTCACGTGCAGCTTCAAAGAATGGGATTGGCAGGAAAAGGGCTAGGTCCACAGAATTTGAGTCAAATCCTTCTGCAAATTCTGCCAGTGGATTGAGTATGTTTTGGTGGAGAGGTGGTAGGCTTTCTCGCCAGCTGTTCTGTTGGAAGGTTTTACCTTTCTCCTTGATATCCAAGGCTGCCAGACAAGGTCTGCAATTCTTCCTGTTTCTTCTATTTACTTGGGGTGGTAGTTTTTGCATTTTAGTCAACTGAGTACTATTCTGAACATGTTTAAAGTTTGAAATTCTGCAGCTGGTTGTATGAAGATACCAGGCATATTATATCCTGAGAATTCAGATTTTGCAAAGAGAAGCAGACATGTTGCCTGGCAAGCTGCCGTCGAGTCATCAGCGACTGTAGAACAGCTTGCTTTGCAGGTATGGTGCTCATTTTTCTTCTCTCTTTCAATTTTCTTGATCATGGTAATCACCTTCCTGCTTTGTTCTCTCTACCTCATCCATGTGGGTATGTACATCTAATTGCAAATGTCGGCTGTTTGATTACAATATCTGCTTTCAGCTTCCTTTCTGCTGGTTCCATCTATTTATTTTAATTGTATGACCTTTCCAGGTTAGAGAGTTCGATTCGAACATTAGGTGGGATGAAATTGAGAACGCTCATCCTTTGTCTATGTTGGACAAGGAACTTAGAAAATCATTCAGGTTGTTCAAGAAGGTAATTGTTCGCAGGAAGTGTGTAGAAGAAGAAGGGGCAAAGTATCTTCTTGATTTTGGCAAGAGGAGAAGTATTCCCGAAGTGGTTTCAAAACATGGGTCTATGATTGAAGAATCCTCCAGTGAAAGGAAGAAGTATTGGCTAAATGACTCTTATGTTCCCTTGCATCTCTTGAAAGGTTTTGAAGAGAGAAGAATTGCTCGCAGGTCTAGTAAGATGAGTTCTGGGAAACACACTGAGGCCTGTGCGGTAGTGAAGAAGCCCTTGAAGAAAAGAGGGTTTTCTTATCTTTTTGCAAGAGCAGAAAGATCTGAGTACCACCAGTGCGGACATTGTAACAAAGATGTTCCAATCAGGTAACTTAATCTTAAAATGTATAATTCTTTTCATTTGTTGTACATTGTTAAAATTTGACAGCATGGGTACTTATTATATACAATTTTTTGTTATGAGCATTGCTCGTTTTTGTTCCTTCTAATATTTGTTTCGTTGTAAATATTAATTTACTCTCTTATGATGTTTAACCACTTGACAGGGAAGCTGTCTGCTGTCAACATTGCAAGGGTAAGCAGTTCTTCCTTAATGTCACTATAATCACAGGATTAAATCTGATATTTGGCACTCACTCTCCTTTTCCATTTAAGTTTTGTATCTTACACATATGATACAATTTTCAGGATTTTTCCACAAAAGGCACGTGAGGAAATCTGCTGGTGCCATCACAGCCAAATGTACATATACATGCCATCGGTGCCACTATGGGAAAAATGTGAAGAAGACAAATGCAAAAACAGTGAAGAGTGACACTCGAAGAAGAAAAAGTAGCGCCAAGAGCACAAAAGTTCAGGAGCAAAAATCAAAAAAGATCACTGTAGGTAGAAATTCGATGAGATTGAAGAACAGTAAAAAAGCCTTACGGCATTCACAACCACTAAAATCAAGAAACAATAAGAAGGTTGCTGTTGTACCACTGCGTCGTTCAGCTAGGAAAGCTAAACAGAAAGCATTGCAAAACAAGAAGGTTGTAGGACGCAAGAGAGGAAGACCAACCAAATCCAAAAAACACGCAAATAAGAAACCAAAGGAAGGTACTTCATTGCGTAAGAAGAGAACAGATACTTATCATAGTTACTGGCGTAATGGTCTTCTTTTGTCTAGAAAACCAGATGATGAACGAGTGACACATTTTAGGGAGAAAAGCTTCATTGCCCCATCCGAGAGTGTCATTGATGGTCAACCCAAATGCCATCTTTGCTGCGAAGCAGGATATACATCTATTTCAAATTATATTTCTTGTGAGATGTGTGGAGGTAACTATGTTTATTGTTCTTTATGTCCTTTTTTCGTTTAGGTAATTAAATTATTGGAAACTAAGGAAGAATATAATATCTGTTCATACATTAGTTTTTCTTCCACTTTTTTTTTCACTGTAATGTTTTCACTGTAACATGCATTATGCAGAATGGTTTCATGGAGATGCTTTTGGACTTGATTCGGAGAACATGAATAAGCTCCTTGGTTTTAGGTGCCATATGTGCCTTAAGAAGACTCCTCCTATCTGCCCGCATTCAGCAGCCACAAGCCATGACGTTGAAATAGCTGAGGTACAAAATGATGTTGCGACTGAATTCCCCAAGGAAGAGACTGATAGTATCATACATCCAGAGGTGGATCATCCAGGTTTACTTCCTGTTGACGAGTCTATTCATGCGGAGGTGCAATTAGGTACTGCCCTGGATTCAAATCAGAGTTTCGTGTCTGAGTCTAAATTGGAAGCAGAAAATGGGCTTGCACTTAGTAATGTGAAGGAGAATACTGATGCAATTAGAACTTCTAATGAGAATTTGAAACCAGATTCACTAACATCATCTAATGAAAATCATATGGTTGAAGAGCACACAATTAAATTAGGTGGTGATGCTACTGTAACTTCACAAGATGTGGCACAGCTTTCTTCCTGTAAGGTTGATGTGGATTTGATAGAAACTGAATTGGCTTCATTAGGATCAGATGGTGCGAAGGATGGCTTAACAACACGTGCCCCGAAATCACCAATTGATGGAACCTTTCTAGACTCCATCAAGATGCAACCACAATCATTCATAGCATCAACTGAATTGTAAGATGAGAGCGAAACAATTGTAGATTAGATCCAGAGTCTATCATTTAACTGGTGAGACAGGAACGTTAGAGGCTTGAGTTATTTTCAAGTTCGGAGTTACCTGTAAATCTTTTAATGTTGTTGACATTCATGGCAGAAGCTTATAAAATACAATGGGAAGATTCTTTGAAAACTAAAAATAAGGAGTTTATTTGAGGAGGTAGTTTCTCTAACAGCTTTCAATCTCTATGAAGATTGCTCCATGTCATTGCTGTCTCAAAAGAATGGAATTCACTTGGTTCCTGCTTGGGAGGCATGTGTAGGAGCATCTTTTTACCAGGTCTGATGGCATTTTCCTTTGCCCTTTTTTTTTTTAAATATTTATATAGTTTTTCCCAATAGCTAGCAAGTAAGATTAGGTTAATTGTTAGAGCTTGAGGCTTGGAATTGCTAGCAATGGGTTTCGTGAGGGTTTATGAAGAGTAGCACATTATTCTATAACTGAGTGAGTTGTGGTAGCGGTTCTGTATTTGGATTCTTAACTTAATTTTTCTCAGATTGATTTTCGATTGAAAAGTAGTAGTTAACCTTGTAAACTCGTGTAAATATCTCATCAATATAGTCGAAAGGAATTCATATGTGCATATTTGTTTCAACCATCTTGAATTCATATCAACTAGTAGAAATGATTTCGTATGAAGGAATACAAACTTGCTAATGTATTTACGTGGATATGCATACAGTTAATATGTGTGTGCAGCAGTTAATTTCGTCTAGATGCATGATACAAAACTTAAGGTTGCAGTAATTCTGATTTCAGATACTAAGCAGCCACTTGGGGTTTCATTTTTGATGTGTTTGAGATGTCGGATTCTCAATTGAGATTGGACAACGTTTGTCTGAGAATTCCAACCTTTTTCCAAGTATGGGGTTTGCAACGCCAAACAATGATTGCAAAGTATTTCCCTTTTCTCTTTGTTTTGGTGTCCCAGATATATCCTGTACGACTTATGATCATTACAATGTGCGCAAGGCATTGTTAGCGCGAACTTTTGAAACTTCCCGCCCAAAGCTGGAAAAGGTTCCTTCAGAAGAAAGTAGGAGATGTTGTGCTTGGGGTAATGGCAATTTGTATTGTTCCTTTCAACTTTCCCAGTGCGAATGTTATCTGATCCCATCTAACTTTTTATTACAGGATTTATTTAATCCTTAGGTAGTATGCATAATCTGAACGTTTTCCCAGGCTAAAAATCACCATTAGTCCCTATATTTTCTGAATTTGGTAATATTGAACCGTCTAATAATGAGTTGCTCACGTTATGCCTTGTGCTTATTATTATTATTATTTTTTGTCATATGCCTTGTGCTTATTATTATTATTATTTTTTGTCATTTAGGACCTAGTAAATTATAGATTAGTCCCTTTAGTTTCAAGAAATAAATTTAAAATTAAATTATAAATTAGTACCTCTATCTTGTTTAATTTAATATTATTTTATTATATAAAATTTTTTTTCTAATTAATTTTTCTATATATTTTTTTAAAATAAATTGAAATAGAGCACCCGAAAAAAAAGATTAAGTTTACACGTATATTTAAAAATATAAGGATTAAATAATTAGTTTTAAAAATAAAATAAACTAATTAATTTGTTTTTCCAAAACAAAGGGGACTCATTTCTAATTTACTCTTTAGGACCCTCTGTTTTTTATTATTTTTCCATCAATTGACCAAGAACCCCGTTAGCTGACCTGAAGAAACTAATGGCGTGATTACACGTGTTGATGCAGGCCCACATCTAAAGTAGATTCTAAAATTGAAATTCAAGAAAACAATTCGAAAATGAAAATAAAAATACGAGGAAAAAAATACCTGGATTAAGTAAATTTTCTCACCTAAAGTAGATTTTGGAATATTTTGCCGTAAAAAAATGAATCTGGAAGTATTTCATTGACTTTATGACAAAAGATGTAATGATGTTGAGTTTTTTGGTTAAATAGATATTTCATCGCAAATCTTGCACATTTGATATATATATATATATATAAAGCTAAAATTGCTAGAAATTTAAATTTGGAATTGAGACGTAACATTCGTATGTTACAAACCGCTATTAGAATTTCATCTCCCTAACTCAAAAGTAATAGATATATAATTAGTTTTTTCATCCGTGTTACATCGTGGATTTAATAAAATATATGAAATTATTTTTAAAAAAATTATTTCAATTTAATAGTCCGTGTTATGATGTGAATTTATAAAAACATATGAAATCAAATATAAAAAAATATATATTTATAATTATTCAACCAAAATTTTGTATTTAACTATTTCTCATTTGTATTTTTCATGATTTTTCTGTTAGAAAAATAATTTATTATTGTTAATCCATGAATTATTAACTAAAAAAAATTAATAAAATTTTAAAAAAGTTTTAGCATTTCATAAGATTGTATCGAAAAACTGAAATAACAATTAATAAAAACTTACATAGAATTGAACAAATAAAAAATTATTTTTTTATTTTTATTTAATGTTGATGAAAATATCGATTTTTGAAAAAATGTAAATTTAATTTTTATATATTTATTTACAAAAAAATGAATAATATTAAAATAAAAAACTATATTAATTTGAATCATTGAGAGGTTAAGCCAAAAAATAATTTTAATTATTTAATTTAAAATAAATAAATTTTAAAATATTCAAAAATAAATAAATAAATAGCAAATGTTTAGTGTAGTAGTAGTTGCATAGTTAGTTTATAAAAAAATAACAATTCAAATTTTTTTTATATATCATAATTATACTAAATGGATTCGAGTTTTTAGCATAAAATAAAAAAACACTATATAAAAAAAATTAACTTGCAAGGAATATATTGACTAAATTTAAAGTTAATATACTAAAATAAAAATTATTACAAAATCAATTTCGATAAATTTTGATTATATAAAGAAGAAACAAATAAAACACGTGAATTCTTTTTTTTTCTTTTTTTCCTCCTTAAATACTTTTTTTTTTTTTTATGCTATACAAGACTAGTTATTGAATAGAGGCCTCACACCCGGAGCAAACATCTCTTTTTTGTATTTCACATTTGACTTTCAATTATTAATTAACTAATTTGAGTTTTTTTCTAAAAAATTCGAGAAAAAAATTATTGAAATGCACTTTTAATCTAAAAATATATTTTAGACAAATGATTTATATTAATCATGCCACTGTAATTTAAAAATTATATAAATATATTTTTTAAAAGAAAAACTAATCATGTTCTAAAAATTTATTCTAAAATCCATACATATAGAAAAATAAATCAAAATTATCAATAAATAAAACTTTAAATTAATTTGATGAGAATTTAAAAAAAGGACAAACTATAGTAGTCAATTTTAAATAATACAAATAATTAATAAAAAAATACTAAAACAAAATGGGATCAAATCACAATACAATTGAAGTTTGAAATTATATATATATATATATATATATATTAAGGACCAAAGTATCAAAAAAAGCCATAAATAGTGAAAGAAATAATGATTTGTAAGTATGTGAATAGTGATTTATGAGTATGTGAATAGTATTATGAATAGTAAAAACTCATTTTGTTTTAGTGTTTTTTATAAACTGTTAAAACTTTTCATTAAATTTTAATTATTTGAGAATAAATTTTTCAATTTAATTTCAAATTGAATTTTTTTAATTATTTTTATTTGAAATTATGTTATTTTATTATATTTTTTTTGGTTAACTTTAACCAACAAGTGCAATTTCTCGGTTTCTAAAAGTATATAAAAATTTATAGATATTTTATTTTTATTTTTTTCCTAAATACTAAAAAGCAATTAACAAATATTTTAAAGAATCAAGAAAGAAAATACATTCGCATGTTTTGACATATTTTTAGGTATTTGAAAATTTAAGAAATCAATCATGTACAACTTATGCATGCTTTTAGTGTCAAAATAGATGATTTTTTTTTAAAAAAATCAATTTACAATAAAATAATTCAAAAAATCTGAAATTAAAAATTAGCATATTAATTTTTAGATACTTAAATTTAAAAAACAAAATTGTACCATGTGGCTTTTTATTTAAATCTAGCATGAAGTGGTATAGGTGGAAAAGAAAAAAAGAGCAAAAAGATGAAGTGAACAGTAACCGAACCCGAAAAGAAAAAAAAATGAGGCGGAAAAAAAAATGGTATCATGTGGCTTTTTAAATAAATCTAGCATGAAGCGATATCAGTGGGAAAAAAAAAAAAAGCAAAAAGTACAAGTGAACATTAACCAAACAAAAAAAAAGACGAAAAAAAAATGAATAGTAAATGAATGAATAATAATTTATTATTGAAAAATTCCACGTCTTTTAGTTTATTAGCAATAGGCGATCAAATCTGTATCTATTTTTTTTAATAAATATTTTTAACTTTTTTATTTTTACTTAAAAGTAAAATCCGCTATTAGCAATCCGTAACAGACAATAATCACTACGTATCAATAATAAATAAATAAATAATAATAACATGCAGTGAGTGATGAGGAGGGAGCAATCCCAAATTCTTCCATTCTATTTCCACCTTTTTTATAAGTAAGATAAGAAGGGCTCTAGCCCAGCCCAGTCCGGATGAGCCCATGTTACAGTCCATTTAAATATTATCAAAGCAAATGAATGTCATCCATCACACACCACAAGAAGTGCCAATAGGGAGGGAGAGAGAGAGAGAGCAGATGATTGTAAGAGAAAGGGAAGATGCCTATCTATAACAGATCGTGTAACAGATAAGAGACCGAAACCATAACAGAAATGAAAAGCCAAGACAACTAGACAAGACATGCATACATACATATAATAGTTGTTCTTTCTAGGTGTCTTCAATTTTTGAAGTTGAACAAAACAATGGCATTCTCTCCTACATCTACTTCTTCACTTTCTACTTTTCAATCTTCTAATTCTACTCTTTTTTATTCACCCAAATTATACTCCCATCCTTTTCCTACCTCTTTCTTTTCTTTTGCTTTCTACCCAAAGAAAAGACACTCTTACACTCGTCGTTTTCGACTTTTTGCTACTGCAAATGTGGCTCTTCAGTCTGGCAATGGTGCTGTCGTTGCTACCCCTAATGCTGCCACTGAGAAGCTGGACTCATCCTCCTACGGAAGACAGTACTTCCCTTTAGGTGCTGTTGTTGGCCAGGTCTATTCTATACATCCCTCTCTCTTCAATTTTGGTCATGAAAAGATGTATTCTGTTTTTAGTTCTAAATTTTCCCTCGCTTGTAAAAGGGTCAATTGGGTTATAATTATTTCGATGTTTGTTTTACTGAAATGGGTTTTTTCTTTTAGGGTTGTATTAGTTATGTTATTATGGATGAGTGACTGAATTAATGCTAAAAGATTATTGAAGGAACTTGTCATTAAGTCGAAAGATTATGACTTTTTTGAGATTTCGATAATAAATGTTTTAAGCGAGTGCTTGTTCTCCATAGCTGCAGCTGAATGCCATTGGATGTGTGTCACCACATATGATTATGGCAACTTAGTGAACACAGCACACCTGTGTGTCATTGGTTGTGTTTAATTTGGAAATTCATTTGATAATTGTAATGCTGACTTGTGAATTTTTCATTAACATGTAACTAGTGATGTCAACCTTGTTATAGGATGCTATCAAAACTGCTCTTTTGCTTGGGGCTATTGACCGTGAGATTGGTGGGATTGCTATATCTGGAAGGCGAGGAACAGCCAAGACAGTAATGGCACGTGGGCTTCATGCAGTTTTGCCACCCATTGATGTAGTCGTGGGTTCAGTAGCAAATGCAGATCCAGCATGCCCTGAAGAGTAAGGTCACTGAGTGATTGAAAGATTTGTGTGCATGTGCTCTTACTTTTCCACATACAAAAAAAGAAGGCTATATTTGTTCATACAGACAGCTGCTTTTGTTTCTAATCACCTTAAAAAGGAAGATTTTTTGCTCTGAAGTCATATTGTCACTTTAAACATGCAGAATGATATGCTATCATTTGCTCAAAGTTATTTATTTGTCCACTCCCCACTCAGAATAACTTTTCCTTGATTTATGTGATGTTTATTAACATGGTGCTAGCTATGTGGAAAATCTCCATAAAAAATGGTCATTATCTGTTTGTTCATGCTCCGATAATAAATTTTTAACCAGAAATAGTTGTGTTTGTCTGTTCAAGATCAACCGGAGATATTGCCCCCTGTCCTTTTTTTCTATATTGCAAGTTAATTTAAGGTTTCAAAAAAAAATCATGATTAAGTTCTGGCTTTAACTCTGTGTTCGGTGACTTACTCAAGAGGAGCAAAGCTCAATTGCTGACCCTAGATTATAGCCTCATGTGTCATTTTTCCCGTTTAGAACAAGTGACGCAAAACTTCCAAATTTTTTTCCTAAACAATAAAGCTGGAGGTGCCATGAGATTAAGAAGTCCATGTTGGCAACTAAAAGTTTAGATTTGCCCTTCAATAAGTCTATGCATATGGTTTTGGAACCGAAGCCTTATTTACTGCTATTCTGTGCAGAACAATTATCAAGTAAATAGAAAATGATGGTGTATGTACATTGACAGATCTAATTTCTGTCAGCAATCTTATGCAGCCGCCAAATTTATGTTGTCATGAATCATAATGTTACCCTCTAGGTTCAAGGGAACTATTATTATTATTTTGTGAACTGTTAAATCTTTTTGGTCTCAAATGACTCATCTGGCCATGCTTTCTGAAGGTGGGAAGATGGTTTGGCTGAAGGAGTGGAATATGATTCCAATGGTAATATCAAGACCCAAGTTGTGAGGTCTCCTTTTGTTCAGGTCTGTGTCTTGAGAAAAAAACCTCAGTAGTTTAGATGGTTTTCATTACTTAGCTAATAAAGCTAGTCAATTCATGCACAGATTCCTCTGGGAGTTACTGAGGATAGGCTCATTGGATCAGTGGATGTTGAGGAGTCTGTGAAAACAGGAACAACTGTCTTCCAACCAGGCCTTCTTGCTGAAGCTCATAGAGGTGTTTTATATGTTGATGAAATTAATCTCTTGGATGAGGGTATAAGTAATTTGCTTCTTAATGTGTTGACGGAAGGAGTTAATATTGTGGAAAGAGAGGGAATCAGCTTTAGGCATCCTTGCAAGCCCCTTTTGATTGCTACTTATAACCCAGAAGAGGGTGCTGTTCGTGAACACTTATTAGATCGCATTGCTATTAATCTGAGGTATGTGCCTTCAATTAAGCAATGGAGTAAATTCCTTGCCCTTAATTTTGTTCTTACCATTTCAATAATGACATAATTCTTCTGCAGCGCAGATCTTCCAATGAATTTTGAAGATCGTGTTGCTGCCGTTGGAATTGCAACGCAATTTCAGGAACATAGTGATGAAGTATTTAAAATGGTTGAGGAAGAGACCGAATATGCAAAGACCCAGGTACTGTGCAGCAATGACTTGTCCTGTGAGTTGGTCCTCCAATGCAAAAATTTTAGGAGTCCAGTGAAAAAAACCCTTGGGAATGAATGTTTGTAACCCAATGGCAATTCCCCTCTGTCAATTGAGAAGAGGTTCCAGGCTGTTGTCTATGATTTAACACACTCCAGTTCAAGTGGAGATTATAATCTCCCATCTCCCTTTAACAACTGATAATGCTTGGCTAAACAAAAACAGGACAACCTACTTGGGATGGATCCCTTGTATAAATAAGGGCAGAAGAATACTCTTTGAAGGAACAAATGTGATACTTCTGTTTAAAGACATGGTTATATGATCATATGAAGTAAGTTTTTTATATAATAGAAAAAAGAGAAATCATTTTCTTGAATCTACCATTGAGTTTGGGATGCTAAACATGATCTATTTAGTCACAGCCTCCAAATCTCGATCAGTTGTGACTTTGTATATAACTTTTCTTCCATGATATTTTTTCGGTGCTAGTGCTAAATTGTCTTTTCTAGCCACTTTTAATGCAATAATTTACATAATTAGCAAGCCTGACTTTCTAGAAGGCCTCTGACTAAGTTTCTGGGAGAAGAATTATTTCTTAAACATACTAGATGCACTCACATAATTTATTTGCTATGGTAATTGAATTACCTAGAACATCAATGATGACAGCATATCCAAACTTTGCAGGTCATACATTTTGCTTTATTAAAATGCAAACTCTCACTGTTATACTGACGAATATGATATTTGGTCCTTATTGCATTTTGTGATGCTGCAGTACAGTTTGTTGTCCACAGATAAATTACTGTCTTTCTACATATTGTTTCCTGCAGATCATTTTGGCAAGGGAGTATCTGAAGGATGTTACTATTGGCAGGGAGCAATTGAAGTACCTCGTTTTGGAAGCCCTTCGAGGTGGTTGCCAGGTACTGGAATTAATGCTCTTGCTTAATATGTAGAGTTTTTTTTTTTTTCCCCTTCCTCCCTCTCCCCCTCCTCCTAGACCCTCTCTGTTGGAAAACAAAATCAAGGAAGTCCACAAATTATCTCCCTTAACGTCCTTTGTAATTGGACTACTTAACAAAAACCATCATGTTGGTGTTTTGTGCCATTAAGCATAGTGAACCATGTATGCAAGAACCAATGGCCACTTTGTATTTCATGGGGTAGCTCATGCCATGGGTCCAATCATAGTTTTAAAAAACTGTCGTTACTTAACGTAACAGCCGCTATATAATGGTGGCGGGGCACTCCGTTATTGTTATTTGGCGTCACAAGTGTTCTGACACCGTTTCACACAGATAACGGCAAATAACGGCGTTACACAAACTTGTATTAGAAAAAAAAGAACATTTTAGCAGCCGAAATTCAGCCAGAGATAGAGAACCCACGGGATTTATTTGCAGGCTTTGAGTGAAAAATTATAAATTAGTCCTTTTATTTTTAAAAAATAAATTAGTTAGTCCTTTTTATTTCAAAAACTAATAATTTATTTATTTTTGTTCATTTTATATTTTTTTTCCAATTTATTTTTGTTCTTGTTTTAAAAGTTAGAAAAAAAAGGTAAATTTATACCATGAAAAGATTGATGAAAAAAGAAAATATTTTATGGAATAAAATATGTTGCATTAAACATGATCAATATTGATTAAAAGCTTAAATAATTAATTTTTAAAGCATTAAGGGCTAATTAATTCATTTATGGAAACTAGAAGAACCAATCTATAATTTACTCTTTATTATTTGACTTTGTTTGTCACTTTATCTTGAGTTTGGCTCTCGCATGCGCAAATTCATTTGCCTGCAAAGCAAATGCAAGCTTTAATTGGGTAAATTATAATTTAGTCTCTTTATTTTGAAAAAATAAATTTGTTGGTCCTTTTTGTCTTAAGAACTTGTTATTTAGTCTTTTTTCAATTTTATGCTATTTTCTAATTTGTTTTTCCTTTTGTTTTAAAAATTAAAAAAGTAAAAAAAATAATGTATTAGAAGTGTGTATATTGAAATTAAAAAAAAAGTAAAAAAAAAAATTAGTTGGTCCTATTATTATGATCCTCCGCGATGAGTTTTTTTGGAGATGAATATTTTGTAATGTGTATATTGAAATTATAATATATTTTATTTGATATGAATCTATTAGAAATGTTATTAATTATTTTGTAATAAATTCAAATATTGTTATATAATATTAAACTCGTTAGAAATGTTATTACTTATTATTATGCTTAATTAGTAAAAATGTTAAAAATATAGGAATTAAAATAAATTTATTAATAGTTGTTAATGTATTCATGACATCGGTTATTGTAACCATTATTTTATTACCTCGATCGCAATCCTTTTTTCAACCGCAACCGTTATTTAAAACTATGGGTCCAATGTCAGATGGTCAACGGTGAGGATTTTTTGGATGTTCATGAATTCCTAATGGGCTGCAGGACTTTTTCTTTTCTTTTCTTTTTGAACTTTGCTTCTTACTTTTGAGCTGCTATTAAGATCTTTTAACTGTATACTCTGAATGGCAGGGACACAGAGCTGAACTATATGCTGCCCGTGTTGCAAAATGCCTGACTGCTTTAGAAGGACGTGAAAAAGTGACCGTGGATGACCTTAAAAAAGCTGTTAAGTGTTTTTTTCTGAAACAGTGTTCATAAGTAATGAGAGAAAAATGAAAAGAATCGTTTTCATTGCTTGCGATAAAGATTCACTGATACAATCACTTCTATAAAAAGTTTCTAAAACAGATACTTAACCCTTTTATATAATTTGTATAAAAATTTTAGCTCTTGTTATCATCATCCCTTCATATCTATTTACTGGAACAATCTCTTTATATGATTTGCGTAAAGTTTACTAACTTACAATTTTGATATGCCACCATTTTATGCAGGTAGAACTAGTTATTCTTCCTCGTTCAATCATCAATGAGAACCCACCTGAGCAGCAAGACCAACAGCCTCCGCCTCCTCCGCCTCCTCAAAATCAAGATCCTGGGGATGAGCAGAATGAGGAGGAAGATCAAGAGGTTCTTTAACATTTATAAGCTTTTTGCTTGATGCAGAAAATTATGCTGGTTTTTCCAATATTATATTTTAAAAAAGGAAAGAAAAAAGATTGTTATTTGGTGTCTTTTGACTTAGTACCATCTCTTCTTTATCAACTTGGAACGTACTTGTTTAAAATGTGACTGTTCTTTTCTGCAATTAGGAGGACAATGAAGAGAATGAGCAACAGCAGGAACAAATACCTGAAGAATTCATATTTGATGCGGAAGGAGGGTTGGTTGATGAGAAACTTCTCTTCTTTGCACAACAAGCACAGAGACGCCGAGGGAAGGCTGGGAGAGCAAAGAATGTGATATTTTCTGAGGATAGAGGTCGATATATTAAACCCATGCTCCCGAAGGTTTGTCCCCCAATTCTCTTCTGCCTCCTCTGTCCTCTTTTTCTTTTTTAAAACACTATTGAATTCCACATCAGGCCATCGTTTTTATTTTCTCTCTTCATGTTGAATTTTAAACGACTTGATATAACAGTACAAGGAATTATGATCACTTTGTATCCAATACATTGATTTTATCTCTGGTTCTTATTTAACTTATGAATTAACTCTCCTTTTCTAAAATCATAATAATCTGTTTGTCCTTGCCCCACTGACTGGTTTGCTTCATCCATTTTTCCTGAATTCCTCATTCAAGGGTCCTGTAAAGAGATTAGCAGTGGATGCAACCCTCAGGGCAGCTGCTCCATATCAAAAATTGCGTAAAGAGAAGGATACTCAAAAGAGTAGGAAGGTTTATGTTGAGAAAACTGACATGAGGGCAAAAAGAATGGCAAGAAAAGCCGGAGCACTGGTAACAATGGATTCTTGTATTATTTGCAGTTATCCTTGACTTCCTTTTAGAAAAATTTGATTCTGCTTCCAAAAAAATTCTGTTGTGCTTCTATATATTTTAGCTTTGATTGTGTTTCACAGAGAAGGATACTCAAAAGAGTAGGATTTTCTGGATTCAATTTTAAAATTTTAGTCGCCATCATTTTTCCATGTAGAGATCAATGTAAATATAAAAATTTATGGAATTTGAATCTTAGAGGCTTCAACTACACTATCAGATTTTTTGTCTGGTAATAATAATATCGGTTTCGAGCACTGTGGGCTTAATAGGATTTGTATGTTGGGCTAATTTCTGTTCCATTATTGAGGCAGGGAGTTTTGGTGCTGTTTTCATTTCCCTAACGTTGAGAGAGACAGAGGGTATAGGAGCTCCCTTGTAGTGTTGAAACTTCTGATATGTTTGGATTCTCATGCACGTATTTCATGACAGGTAATTTTTGTGGTTGATGCTAGTGGCAGCATGGCATTGAATCGAATGCAAAATGCAAAAGGTGCAGCTCTAAAGTTGCTTGCTGAGAGTTATACAAGCAGGGATCAGGTATATTTAATCAGTACATCTGTCATGCACTTCAACTGTTATGAAAGCTTACGCTTCAAATTTTTATTGATTCTTCTATGTTAAAAGAAGTTAGCTCCTGATGACATTCAGCACTTTCAACTATTGGAACTCTGTTGACACCGCAAACAACTGATTCTTTCTAACTCTGTTTCTGATCAATGTGAATTAGGTTGCTATTATTCCTTTCCGTGGAGATGCTGCTGAAGTTCTTTTGCCTCCTTCCAGATCAATTTCAATGGCAAGAAAGCGTCTCGAAAGGCTTCCATGTGGTGGTGGTTCTCCCTTAGCTCACGGCCTAACGACTGTAAGCAGATCTAGTTTATCCCCCCAGTTCGTATCCCAACAAAAGAATTCCCATAAAATGGGAATTTTTCTGTTACTGAATATTTCAATTTGAGCTCATGTGTAAATGATATGCATAAAACTGTTCATATGTTTTATCTTGTGAATGACATCCCATGTATATACTTGCTGAAAACTGCTGCCAGTATCATTACGTCTTTTCCTTCTGAGCTGCTATTCCTTTCTGATTCATTCTTGAAATTGCTAAAAAATTTGCCATGCAGCACTTGTTTTTGTTGCAATCAGCTTTCTGGAATTGTATACCCGCATGCCCTTATCCTGTTTCTAACTTTCATGACCTTAATTTTGTTTAGGCTGTCAGGGTTGGGATAAATGCAGAAAAGAGTGGTGATGTTGGACGCATAATGATTGTTGCAATAACTGATGGCAGAGCCAATATATCACTGAAAAGGTCCAATGATCCCGAAGCTGCTGGTCCTGATGCTCCAAGACCTTCGGCACAAGAATTGAAGGTAAATTTTGAGCTCTGAACAGTACATGTAGCATATCGCCAACTACAATGCAAAAGCTTCTAAATGGCACTAGACAGACAGACTGCACATAGGAGATTGCCAAATTTGTTCACTCTCAAAGGATCAGGACCTATCTGGTTTTAAACACAAAGCTAGTTGTAAAGGTGATGCAGGATTTTCTTGTCACCACTTTTGCTAGAAAACATACTTTATATCGGACTCAAAGTTCTAGATCTCAATCTTCATTTTTGCCATTTATCTGTGTGAAGAGGTGCACATAGAGGAGTCAATCTGCAATTCAGAAATTTTTCTGTAGTTTTGCTTTTCTATGATTGTAATGCATTCTTTGTCTGTCTGATAAAGGATGAGATTCTTGAAGTGGCTGGGAAAATATTCAAGGCAGGGATGTCTCTCCTTTTGATTGACACAGAAAACAAGTTTGTTTCAACCGGTTTTGCTAAGGAAATTGCTAGAGTTGCTCAAGGTTTGTCTACTTGAAGAAAACTCTTTAATTCTTCATTTTCAAAGGCCGTAACAAATCAATTGTGCTACAACAAATCTTTGCTCTGCAGGGAAATACTATTACTTGCCGAACGCATCAGATGCAGTTATTTCAGCCACGACGAAAGAAGCTTTATCAGCCTTAAAGAGCTCATGATTTCAACATTCTTGATCGACTAAATCACAAAAATTGTATAATGTTTCCCACAAAATTGTCAAGCTTGATTAAGCATATGGAGAGTTGCAACTTTTAGGTCCTATTAATTCTGCATTTGTATTCTCAGTTGTGAAACAAAATCGTTTTTTTATATCCTTTTGATACAGTTTGCTAGCTATACTTGGTGCGCGGTCAGTTATTGCTACAGTAATCCGCACCTGACGAGTCGCTGGAGCAGTGTTCTATTTACGGACAAAATAAATGGATGAGGGATGGTTTTTTATTTTTATTTTATGGGATAATTATCCTCCTATCATAAGCACAAATGTAAAGAGAACGTGACACAAGCAATTAGGGCATCTCAAGAAACCCACCCGGCTCAAGCACTGAAATCGTAGATAAATAGATTGACATTTGGATTATTAATATTTAATCTGCAACATTCATGAAAAAGGGTGTAAAAAAAAAAAAAAAAAAACCTGGACTAAATTTGAAGTGCTGGACAGGGAAGACCCATAATTTCATAAGTTACGTAACGTTTTTTTTTAAGGCCCAACCCAACAGTAGTTCAAAAATAATAATAAAATAAAACATACCATCCCAAACACTCCAAAAAAACAAAAATCTCAGCGACTGTCTGTCAGTGGGAGAGTTTCCTCTCCTGTCTTTTAAATTTTAAATTTGCCCGCCTTACCTCGTTCTGCAAACATCCAATCACACAATATCCTTCTGATTTCCGAAATCGGATTTTGGTACCTAGGGTTTCCAAAGAGCAATTGATTTAGGTAAAGTACTTGCTTTCCTTTTTTTTTTTTTTTTAAATCTATTTTTTAAAAGAATTATTGACTAATTGTTTGCTGTATGTTATTAAAAATCGCTAATTTTTTGTTGCAGGATTTGATTTTTAATTTTGATGGAGAATTTGTATAAAAAACTCTACGATAAGTACGATAAGCTTAAGGTGTGCTGCTTTTCTTTTCTTTTCTTTTACGGGAAAAGATATTATCTAATTTATGAACACCCGTTTGGTTCAGTTATGTTGATGAATTTTTTTTCTTTTTTGTTTCAGAAGAAACAATTGTCAGAATTCGATGAGCTCAACAAAGATCAAGAAGTCAAGTTTTTGAATTATATCTCTGGTATGCATGTCTTCTCAATTTTTGTTTCATTTAAGGTATTAATTATATATTTGTCTCTCCTAAGCTGTTCCTTGGAAGTTATCGCTAACGAAATAGTAAGAAATTTTGTTCCTGCAGTGGCTGAAGAGATGATTCAACACTTGAAAGATGAAAATGACAGGTTGCGTAAACAAGCCAATGATTTGAGAAGCGAAGTTGCTTCAATCAGGCATGCATTCCCGACCGTCCTTTCTAAGTTCTGTGGTGGTTCTAAATGTTTTCATTCTGTAGAATATTCTCTTATTCGTTTTGTTTTTCTTGCAGGTCCACCAAGGACGAACAATGTGCGGAGTACCAGAAGTTGTTGATGGAAGAGAACCAGAAAAGTAAGGAACATTAAATTGGCATTAAATTGCTTGATGAATGCCAAAATTCGACTGCAATTCCGTTATGCGTTGATGGCTTATCGTTACATTATAATGCCAACTTCAAAATGCTATTAGATTAATATCATCTGCATTAAGATAAAATATTATTTTAGATGACAAATGGTATCTGTGATGAAATTAGTGGGAGAGTCAAAATGATCTTCGGAAGAAACTATGAATGGAATGGAAACAGATGGTTTGGATCCATGGATGATGGGAGTGGCATATGAAGCTTGTTAATTTTTCAGCAGGAGCCAATTTTAATAGCGTCTCTAGATTTTCTAGCTGTCAGTAGTTGCATCACCAGGTGGCATACACAAATTGAAACCACAGAATTATCTTTGACCCAAACCATAGCAAGTGCCTACTATCTAATCAAGAAAAGTTCATACAACATATCATTTGACTTCTTAAGAACTAAAAGCGAAAGCTTAATCTCCAGTGTCTCAACTATTTTGGTTGAATCATCATAAAAATGGCCGATCAAACTATCTCCCTAACTCAATATTATTTCTCTTGTTCCATTATTCAAGTGAAAATGGTCAAATATGCATGTTGAGTATGTCTAGAGAGACTTAATCTACCTGCTGCTATTGGAACTATCATTTACTTCAAAGCAGCCCCTTCTTGCATGTCTATCGACTCTAGGAAACTTGTAGCTAAATATGTTATTAGAAGTATCATTTACTGGCCTTGCCGATTTAGAAGCAAAGCTCTAGTCACTTTGACCAGAATTTGTGGCTAAATAATTATACATCTATTTCATTATTGAGAGGTTTATCTATGGCAGATAAAATGCTCAATGAAGAAGTTGAGAAGCTTCAAAGGCAGCTTCAATATGGACTTTCCTGCTATTCTAAGGATGGAAACAGTGTACAGCTGAATATGTTTGCAACTGCACAAGTTACACCAGAAGAGATATCCACTGACTCAACAAGAAGTAGGGTGAGAAAACGTAGCCGAGAAGTTAGGGAGAGAATAGAAGAAGACATTACCCATGGTTGTAATGATATAGAAGGAGAATCTGCAAAGCGCTCATCTAAGGGAACTGTTTCCTGTGGGGATCTTCCAAATGATCAGCAGGTAATGCTCATAACCTTACATTTATAGAATGTAAGCTGTCAAGTCTCTCTCTTTTTTTTTCCCTGACTGTTCTGTTGTGGTTGTTCAGCTAGAATCTTGTGAAAGAACTGCATACAGATCAGGTTTGTTTCCAATGCTAAATTTTCTTGGCCCTTTCGTCATGTTGTATCCATTTATTTATCTTGTTTTTTTCAGATGGTGGCATTGTAGCCGACGGTGGCCCTGCCAACGTTCAGTTTCAAGCCCTTCTCGAATACCTAGTAGGCATGAAATTGTCTGCTGTTAATCAAACTGATGAAGTTTGCATTTCAGCTTTGCATCAATCAAGTGGTAATTCCAGTAATATATATGCATAAATCACATATTTTAATCTTTGTTTATTTTGAGTTTTCTGTTAGTAGTTTGGACTTTGGACTTGGCTTTATTCCAATACTGATTCAAGCACTATATGTGAATCTGCACAATTTTTTTTTTTTATTACCATGAAGATATGTAAATAAACTGTAAAGAAATCGCCGTGTAGTTTAGCAATCACAGCTTGGAAATTTTGAGTATGATACCTTACCTAGTCCTGTCATAGGATATGCTTGAAATTGCATGTCCTGTTTTTGGTCATGATCTTCTCTGAAAAGTTATCATTCGCAAATTTGAGTTTCCTTCCCGTAGGTTATATGATCTGTTTGGATATTGGCTAGCTGGTGGTTGTAATTCTTCTTTGCAAAATCTTATTGGATGTAGGAGCTTATAAACACATCTTTGGTTAGGTTCTGGCACAATGAGGTTTTGTACTATGGTTGCATCGCATCAGTTTGGATATTGAACAATACTGAACTATGTATTTCATTTCAACTGCTACGATTTCTTTAGATACTACATTAATTAAGCAATGACAATTTTATCACCAGAGTTTTCATCCATCTTGATACATGCGGGACTCACATTGAGTTTCTAAACACTTCGGTATTTATGCTTAATTTTGAAGCATGATGGATATATACATTTTCTTTTTTTAGACATTCGGCTGAATATGTGAGCTCAAGTAGGCAGTTTCCATGAAATGTATTGATTTTTCATACTTTGTCCTTCAGCACTGTACGTGTCCCTTTTCGGGATATCAAACCCAGGAGATGGTCTCCATTGTGGATGCCATGAATTTATGTTACGGCTTTATATTTTGTCTGCGTTAGTTCTCAATTAAATTTTAAAGTGGATTTGATATCTTAGATCTGAAGAAATGTTGATCAAACCTAACCAGGCGCCTTGCTGTGTATATTGTTTTTGTGCACTCAACATTGGACGAGCAACTTGTGTTCCTGTTCTCATTTCATTTTCTGAGCATCTCTAGCATCTGTTGTTCTGATGGCTGCAGCTTTGATGTTTGTTTCTCTTACAGGTTACTCATTCACTCTAACATGGGTGAAGAAGGAAGCTGAAGAGGAACCGGAGCTGTTATATCGTGTGTTAACACTAGGGACGTTTGAGAGGATAGCGCCAGAGTGGATGCGATCAGTGTTGATGTTCAGCATGAGAATGTGGCCAATCTTCTTTGAAAGAGTAGCCTGTGTGATCAAGCTGCATCGCTGATTGTGCTCGCTTCTTCTTTTTCTGCGGTTCGATTTGCTGCTGTATATGACGTGGGAAACTGATGAGTTGATTCGTGTTATTTTAGACCAGCATGTTGGGTCCCTACTATGTTGTTTTGTACCATGAAGCGAAATAGTTACATTGTTTAGTAATAAACTATATTGTTGTACTGTGAATAAATTTATTGCTGTGTTGTTTGAATCAAAATGACTATAAAGCTCATAACTTTATCATAAGAATTGAGTGGATAAATTAATAAAAAATTTTAACAATATTAATTTAAATATAATCAGACTATTTTGCATTATAACATGAGAAAATTAATAAAATCTTTTCTAAAAGTTTGTTTTGAAAATTAAGAATCATTGTTGATGGGCGAAAATGTAAAAAACCCTAGTGAACTTATGTGAAAAAACAATACCTTCTTGAACAAAAAAACTTTATGATTTCTTAAATGTTTAAAATTTTTAAAAAGAAATCAGAAAATTGTAAACTAAAATATTTAAGAAATAAAAAATTACAAGTTTCTTAGAAATTAAAATTTTAAAAATTTCAGAAAAAAACTAAATTAGATAAAGTATTTCATTTTTTAAAAATCCAAAATAGTTTCCTTCGGTTTTTTTTTTAAATGTTATTGTTCTCATTTATTTTATTTTAATAAAACGGATTTAATACACTCTATGTCTTTATACTATATCGAAAATATTTTTACAACCTTATGCCTAGATATAGTTTATAATTAACCTTACAGTAGTGGACGTTAGTGTAAAACAGTTCATTCATTAACTTTTTCAATCAGCTTGACTAACTTTTATTAGTTGATTAATGTCCGACCAATCCAATATAAACATGTGTCATTTTAAAAATAAAAACATAATTTTTAATTCAGTTTTTTAAAGTTAAATTAATTAATAATCATTTAAAAATTATTTAAAAATTAAAAAAGAGAGAAAAAACATAAGTCTTATTAGTAGTTTGCCATGTCTTTTATATACTTGCATTTAGACATAACAAGATTTGAAACAAAGAGAGAGAAGATGAGAAGATAGAGTTTGATAATTTTATTTGTAAATTTTATTTTCAAACTAGTTTGGTTTTTGTTTTTTATGAAGGAAAAGATTCTTTGTTTATCACTTACACTCGCCTATTTGAGAAGTTTTACAAATCAGCATAAGAGATTGAGTCAATTGGAAGCTTACAAATAATGGATCCTTGAGTATAAATAGAGTAATTATATTAGATCTTTCAAGGTAAGAATGTATTTATTTAAATTGATGTGGGTCTTTCCCGATTTTCAATTAAAGTTAGTATCCATTCTTGAAAATTTCCCCTTCCTTCCTCTCTGATCCATTTTCTTTATGTTATTGTGTATAAGAGTTGTCAAAAATAGAACCCAAACAACTTGGATTGTAGGTTTTTTGTAGGACAATTGATTTGTTGATTCCGTACATATGGATCTAAGTGTTTTTGATCTCATAATCGCATATAAAATCAAGTAAAACATTTGCTCAAATATATACTCAAATCTCTTTTTAAAATTATACCAATCCATTCCAATCATTTTTTATATGAAATCAGTTCAAATACACATAGAGTCCGTTCCTGTCTAAGTTCTAAGGAATGTGAGTAAATTGTACTTAAACCAATGATGCATGATAAACAAAATCAAAGAAATTTAAAAGCATGATATGCTATATAATATCCACTCATAATATAATCGAAGAATCGAACGAAATCAAGATTGTTGAGATGGAGTCGTCCGCTCCGAAGAATCTAATAACATAACGTGGTGGAATAACCATCCATATCACATATTAAAGAATAATTCAAAACAAATGAATTATTCTAGAAATAGGAATACAAGATTATCTAGAAGGATGGAATTAATCGGAAGACTCAAACCGATAACTTTAACTAATTCTTATAATCTCTCAAACAATTCTAAACAATTGCTTAACAATGTCCCATCATCAATCCCCAATTCAATCAACCTTCTTACATACCATCTTTTCTCAAATTCAATTCAAACCTTTAAACAATTAATTTTTCAATTTAATCATCAATTCCATTCTAATTCACTCAATACTCATTTCATTCATCTTTAATTGCATTTAAATAACTTGATTCTTTATTTTCTCCAAATTCTTTTCAATTCAAAAATAAATTTTAGATTTTTCACTATTCATCATTTTCAATCTCTTAATTAATCAAATTTACTCCATTCCAGTTCAATTTACCTTCATAAACAAGGTTATCCAAGGTAATTAAACATTTAATCACTTATCATCACTTAAATAACTTTTTTCCATATGTGTCTTAAAACTCTAACATCAATCTAACTTAATTCTTCATTCAAATAAAAAATCCAATTTGACTTTAAAATCATCAATTACACATATACACATCACAATTTACTCTTCAATCCCAATTTCTATCCCAACTCTCAAAGCTTTCCAAGCTTCAATCCAACTAAAATCCTCTTAATCAACTTGTTTATGGTTTTTCTAAGCTAATTTAACAAAGTTTTAGCTTAGTATTTGTAAGTGAGAATTGGGAGAAAATTTGGAGAGAAATGGATGAGAAGGAGAGGAGAGAAAGGAAGAAAAAATGGAGGGGCAATAATTGTCCCATATTTTATATGTCGCCCCTTTTTTTAACTTAAATATCTTTTTAGGTTGGACTATTACAAAAAAAATAAAAAATAAAAAAATAAAAAATAAAAAAATAAAAAAATCATATGTATGCATTTAATAAATGTGATCACAACTTATTCATTCGAGTTGAAAATTATATCTATATAAAAATCATAGAAGGACTTAAGATGTCCGAAGCATGTAATATATATTTCTAAAAAATATATTCAATTAAATTATAAAGATCTCTATAAGGATTATTCTAATGTTTTTTTTTATTACTTTAGTTTTTAGAAATTTGATTTATCATATACTTTTTATATTTTATTTTTTAATATTTATTTTTTATTACTAATCTGGATGGAAGTGGTATAATCATCTTAATAAATATTTTTTTAAAATATTATACATATAACCATATTTATTCTTGTATTTTTGTAAAGAAATTTGAAAAATAATTTATGATAATTGTTGTATATGTTGATGATTTAAATATTATTAGAACTCTCGAAGGGATTCTAAGTGCCATAAGTTATCTAAAAAGAGAATTTGATATGAAATACCTTGAAAAAACAAAATTTTATCTCAACCTATAGTTCGAGCTCTTGGAGAATGAGATTTTTATTTATCGATCAATTTATATACAAAAAGCTCTACAATGATTTTATATAAAGCTCATCCATAGACTAGTTTAATGATAGTTCATTTACTTGATATCCAAAAAGACTATTTTCGATCTCAAAAAAATACCGAAAAACTACTTACTTATGAAGTATCATATCTTAGTATCATTGGTACATCTTGCTAATAATACTTGATTTGATATGGAGACATTGAAATGAAATTAAATATTTCCTATGTTACCTCTAAAGAAAAATTAATATGGTATTTATTTAGCTCAAATAAATCAAAGTCGAGTTTAATTAGTTATGCGGATACAAATTATTTATTTAATACATACAAAACTCAATCACAAACGAGTTATATATTTACATATGATAATACAACTATATCATGACGTTCTACGAAACAAACTATAGCTGTTATATATTTAAATCATGTAAAAATATCAATTTATGAGGTAAGTCAAGAATGCGTTTGGCTACATCAATGACCCATTATGTCTAAGAGACATGTAATTTATCTACCAACAAAAAAATTCTAACAATATTATACGAAGATAATGTTGCTTGTATAATTTCATTAGAAAAAGAATACATTAAAATGATAATGAATTATTCATTAAGACATTACCTATCATAACGTTTAAGAAAATAATTCACAAGACTGAGATGCACATGTTGCATGCCTCCACTTCATCATCAACATCAGCATTAACATCCTTCTCACATGAATGAATGCATGTACTGCTATCATGAACGCACCATTCGCTCATGTTATCCTATTTTGTCCAGGACGTGCATCTGTCAGTAGCATGTGTATTTGTCAGCAGTATGTGTATTTGTCAGTAGCATGTGTATTTGTATGGATAACTTAATAAGAATTCTGACATGTTTACTATCTATAGCAAGTGTTCCATGGCAGTTTGTTTTTGGATTTGTTTGCCTTTTCATGCTATGTTCATATTAACAAGAAAAACTATAATCTACCATTCACGAACTGTTTATTTAGACTCAACGTTACTGTGGATGTAGACCCAGGTTGCCTATGCACCTCTTCTCTTTGCTTCTCTGCCTTTAGATGGTTCCTCATTGCTTATGCTTGTTTCTGGACCTTCCATTCCTTTTGTTCTTTTGCATTTTTTTTCCTTCCTTTGCCTTTTCACTAAATCACTGTATAAATCTATTGTTATGTATATTTTTGTTTCAATCGTTTGATAAAAATTAAATGTTTTGAAACCATCAGATCGAGCATCCTTTGTTTATTTTTGCCCTTTTTTGATTTCCTTATTTACCTAATGGGCGTCGGTGTTCAAAGCCACCAACATTCTCCTCTTCACCCAAAAACCTTACTGCATCTGCATCTCTCCTAAAATTTCATAACTCGATACCGACCATCAGCCACTCATCCCCACCATAACCCGTCGCAGCACGGGTTGCTCCACCCCCAGCCAAAGACCAACTCCCTCATAATAGCCATTACCATCTACCTCACCTAAACCTATAACCCCCATTGAAACTCTTCCCAAACTCCTTACCCACTATGGATCTCTACATCTAGAAACCACTCGTCTTCACAACCAAGACTAGATCCCTAGCAGCTGACATCAATTGCTAAGTCAAGGATCTCCCTCACCCAAATCTGTAACCCACTGCAACTCTTCCCAAACTCCTCACCCATTATCGATCTCCACATTCTGAAACACTTCTCCTCTTAGCCAAAGACTAGCTCCCTAATAGTCGACAT